TCTTCATACTCATTTAATCACAAAGCAAACACTAGAAATCTGTGTTGGCCAAGTGTAAACATCTATGAAAACAAATATTTAAAAAATATTTGGAAGCAGCTATTTTGTTTTTTTTGCCGCTCCTGATTAATGTTGTTCTTCCAAAAGCAAAGTGTAACAGCTGTGTTTTCTGAGTTACATATTTCCATATATTTTCAATGGAAAACGAGCAAATGAAAATAAAGAATAGAGCCCGGTTGTTCTTACAGTAGTAATTCGTACTTGTATGATCTTTTCAGCTTGTAAGGCGGCCAAATGTTTAATTTTAACCCAAAAGCTCATAGTAAACAAATATTTACATTTTAATATATATTTTATCTATTTTTAAATTTATTTTTTCAAGCTATTAACTTCAATTAGAACTATCCTTTTAATTTTATCTTATCGAGTGCTCACTGTAATCAAAGTGCTTGTAATCAGATCTATCTTCTTTGTTCTCTTTGCCTCGTTTTATGAGCGCGTGCTGTGCACAGCAATTAAGCAACTAGAAGACTTGGCCCGTCGCCTGTTAAATAATGCTTACACTTATAAATTAATGGAAATGACTCAATGTATAATTCGCCTTTATCTGTGTCAAGTTTGCATTGCCCTCAATATTGCCAAGATATGTATGTATATAAAAAGCAAATAGATGTAGCTACATAAGTCGTTCAACTGTAGATAAACAAGCGAGAAGGCAAGGCAATTGCATTTATCGCTGAAATAATAATGTTATTTTTAACCCGCAATGGGCACAATGAGGGTGCATTTAGAAATGGATATAATATAAGGGGTACGTGAACTATATGCAATGGCCAGGGATTGTTTGGGTGCATAGTATATAATAATCTCCTCATTAAATAATTTGTTTACCAAGAAGCTTCCAATAAGAAATAATATTATTGTGGGAAAATCCAAACACAAATATTCTCAGTAATTTGTCTGTGGAATTTTTGGTACGTTTTAAATAACATTTGTATAGTTGTGCTGTTATTATTAAATTAACAAATTTGAAATAAAATATCTTTTCATATTGTTCAATATTTTTAACTACTTTTTGTCTCGTTCTTCCAAGAAATTAAGGTGTAATGGATGGTTTACATTTCCTTTGATATATCAATTTCTTGTGTATTTATTCCTCAATCGACTTTCTAGACAAATACTTTATCATGATACCATCTCCGAACCCCATGCATTTTTTATGTTTTTTCCTGCATTGTGCATGCAAGCCATGAACCGTGCAGTTTGACAGCCACTGGAGATAAGCGACGTGCTGCGGCGGTCGCATTTCCTCTTTTGTCTGCTGCAGACAGAGAATAAATAGTAATAAAAGTACAAAAAACCAGACTAGCTGTCTTTTTATGCCCCATCATATTTACAATGCAAACAACAAATATACGCGTCGGATACACACGACAAAAGCATTTCCCCTTGCTCTATAAGTACTTTGTTGTTGTTGTTATGTTTGCCGGGACTTTGACTTCCCCAAAACAGAAAAGATTTCTTGTTCTCGGTCACTTGGCAGACATTTTACTCAGCATAAAGAAATACTAGTCTGAGCGTTGGGGTGGTGAAAAGTATTATTACCCAAAGGGTGGCCGCCCGAGTTTCTTTATTCCTGCGCGATCTAAAATTTTTTACCTCCATTTGATATAAATTGCTTAAAAATAATAAAAAAGCATTTGGAGGACTTCATTGCTAATTTTATTTACAAACCATTTAAAAATCAGGAAATGTAAGTACTTGAGTGACGAATTATAACTATTCCCGCATTTCTTATTTTCCTAATACATTTTTATGTCAATCAGTACTCGGTTATTTATGATCGTGATTTATTGTTATTTGTATTTTCAGATTTATGTAAAGAAATACAAATAATTATAATAATAAAATGAAATATTTAAACAAAATAAATATTAAAAAAATAATAATAACCAAAAAAAGGCAAAATAAATTTGTTTAAGCTCCAATTCTTCAAAAAATGGTTTAAATGTGTTCACATTCTATAAAAGTAAAAGCTTTGCTTTATATTTGCTATAAGAATGATTTTAGGGAATTTTGTACTATTATTTTATATGCTCGTAAAAGAAAGCATAAAATTTCCTGTTTATGGCCTAAAAAAGGCCAAGCGGCCAACACTTTTTGTCAGCTGCTGATTCCTAAGCCGGCGCCAGCGTTGCGGTCTGCGCAGCTGCTGTTGCTGCTGCGAGGTAAAGTTGCTGCTGCATGTTGCTGTTGCTGCTGTTGCTACCTTCTTACATTTACTTGGGCTTCTCTTCTCACAATTTCTGCCAGAGCCAGCTGCAATTTTTTATCTGTTCGTCGGTTTTTCCTCTTCGCTGCAATTATTTTAAACAATTTCCTGCCGACGCGTTGTCATGTTGATTCTTCGCTCTTCTCGATTGACTCTTTATTTTACCGGCCTTTGTCTAGGTTTTTGTTTATGGTTCTGTTTGATTTACGTGACACGCGTGTTAATTAAACGCCCCAAAGGAATGCACTGCGAAAAAAAGGAGGGCGGAGAAGCCGCCACAACAAATGATTTTAGGAAATGCTGACAGGCGCCTGCCCATTCCATTAATTTCTTGCCATTTCGGGGGTTGCAAAACAGCATGCGTGCAAATAAAGGAAAGAAAAATGGTTGTATATCCCCACTTTTTTTTCTTTCTTCGACTTTCTTTTCCTTTAGAATCATTGATTTCTTGGAAACTCGAAACCCTTGTGGTTGCAACCATTAAGGCTAAGAGCTGTTGCCACCTCTTAAAGTCCACCTCCCCCACATGCGAAAACCTTTCGCCGGGGGTGGCTTCATTGTTCTCGAAAAGGCAATTTGTAGAGGTTCTTTGGCTAGGGTGTATTTACAAATATTTTCCCTAAAGATTAACCCTTAACGAGAGGTTCAACTTATGTATCTCGATTTCCCCCATGTCCATTCACACCAAATCCAGCATTTTAATTAGTAATTAGTCACGCCTTCGCAGCTGATGACTCAATTGTGAGTGAGAAAACGCAAGAAACTTCATCGAAAAATGAACGAAAAACCGGAAGCACTTTGCGCCTCCATGTGGGGAAGGGTTTTCCAAAGAAGAAGGGATCGTTTCCCCATTTCGAACTGATAGCGCGTGACCATAAGTCACGGATTGTCACAGCTTAATTCCCGAAACGAGTCACGTACGTAAGGGAATCGGAAATTGAAAATGTATTTCCTAGGTTAAGGGAAGAAAAACTTTCAAATCGCCAAAAATGTCGAAAAATATACATATGTATCTTGAAACTGCATCTCCAATTTATTTGTAATAACTTTTTAATAAAAAAATGAAGTTTTCAATTTAATTCAATTAATTTATCAATTTAAATCTACTTTATAAAAATAAACTTAAAATTGAATTAACGGCAGTGAATTTATGATACGTTTTGGAATCTTTATTTGTATATTTTTGCTAATTTTTAACTGTCGGATGATTGATAAAGGCAAAAACAAAAGGCATTTTTATAAAGTTCTTTGCCCATCCATTTACCAAATTAGTTTTCAATTTATGACACAATTTATTTTTATCTCTCTGCCGCGGCAATTAATCTTCACAGTCCAAAAATAAAAATTTTCCTTGTATTCCAGTTATTTCCACCAAAATATATACATAAATACAGCTAAAGTGTTCTCTCTGACGAGAGAATAGTTGCATCTACAAAGTTTGCCGAAAATATGTTTAATATTATACGTTTTAATGTTAATAATATTTTAAGATTATTTAGTGGTTAAGCGTATGCCACCGATATACAAATGTGTGACTTCAAAAAACATTTATTTTTAGTTTTTATACACAATTCAGATATTTTCAAATGAAAATAATTTTTCTTAGTTACAGTGAAATAGGTAGATAATTAAAGAAAATTCGAATTGTCTGATTAATTTTCCTTCTTGATAATGTTATCAGATAAAAAGCAGTGAGTATTATCAAATGTTTATTTTTGTGGGTTCTCTCCATAGAGTTTTTACTGTATGTGTATACAACAAACACAAGTGAAAATCGATGAGAGACATGTCCCGTTGTGAGAACATCTGTTCGAGGGTAGCAGCAGCTGTGAGAGGGGGCGGGGCCGTGGGAGAGGGCGGTGGTCGGTGGGTTTTTGGGTGGGTGATTCGCTTTGGTATTTCCCATTTTCCTGCTGGTGCATATTTTTGGCCCTAACAAAAACGAAAGTTGGTTGAACTTCGAGGATATTTTCGTGCCGGCTGCAGCGAAGAAGCAATAAAAAGGATAACACGAATAGTGCAAAGTGCCAGAGAGCGAAAAGCGGCGGTAATTATTGTCCTTGAGCGCAGGCGAAAAAGGACGAGAATGGAGAGCAAGAGAGAGAGCAGCTGATGGTAGGGCATAAAAGGAGAAAAAGGGAGAACCTCGGCGGCGGGCTGCTGCAGATTATTGATTTTCAAGCAACAAAAGGAAAATTCGCTATTGCAAGGGAGATAATAAAACTTGCTTAACTCACCGGGCAAACACATTTTTCCCTGAAAGCCGCACCCTAAAGCTATATTCCTCAAACTGTTTTAATAATTGATAAAGTCAGGCAGTTGGCGACATATTACTAAATTTGTTTCCAACTTATTACTGTTTTTGTGATCTAATCATACGTTACTAAGAACTTATTTTCAATTATATTCTCAGTTTACAGAAATTACATTTTACTTAACAGGAAAAAATTTTATATGTACCTATTATTTCGCTTTTTGGAATAGAATTTTCTAGTTTAAATGTAATGTATGAATACAAATTGTAACCGAACTATAATATTTAAGTTTGTAACCCCCTTTGGCCATTTTAATTAAAAAGAAAATAGATATTGTGTGGGATATGTCTGAAAGGGTTTACCGAAAAGTACTTTTAACTAATATTTTTAATCCCAAGACGTTACAAGATCCACTAATCAACTTTTCCTTTGTTCGCCCTAGACAGTGTACACTGTAAACAATCGGTACCCACCTGCGATGACGGTGTCCGTAAGGGAGTACTTTGTTCCCGTCCTGGGAAAGTCCTTCAGCTTGCGATTGGTCAGGATCAGTTCGCCGCTGAAGTGCGCCTCTTCCAGGATTCGTTCCAGTGAGCGCGTCAGCTGGGAGTGGCTGAGGAGGGCGGAGGAGGACGAGCTGTTCCCATGGCCTATTCCAGTTCCCGATCCCGATCCAGATCCCGGAAAGGAAGCCGACCCGCTGCCGACTGCGCTGCCGGCGGCATTCCCGACGCCAACTGCGACGCTGTGTAGGCGTTGGTAAACCGTTGCTGCCATTTCCCGTGTAGGCGTGGCCACACTCACGCCACCAAAACACACACACACGCACAACGATAGAAGAACGGAGTGAAGTGCCGAAAAAATAACACTTGAAATTAATTTTGCTCTATTGAATCGCACGCATCTCGATTATTTTTCATTTAGTCTTCGTCTTCATTGATAAGATTTCTCGGAATTGGATTTTCCTTTTGCGGCTTCCTTCTTGCTTCCTCTTCCTTGCCTCCCCACACACACGCGCACTAAAATGTACACAGGCGGCAGCGAACGAACAGCGCGCAGCGAGAATCCAAAAACAATTGACAACAACTGTGTGATGGAGATGGGAGATGCAAACACATCGATAACATCGATGTTTTTAAAAACGGAGATACATCGATGTATTTTTCCAACATCGATATATTCACTAATAGCCTTGTCACACCCGATTAGTCAAAAATAAGCGTTTACACTGGGCTTATTTTATTTATCGGTTATGACAGCTAGTGTTTATGGGAGGTCAACCAAATGATTACTCTAGTGACTAGAGTCTAGTCCAAACAAAATTTTTTGTTCTGATTTTTTTGTATGTATTTTTTTGTATGTCGGCAATACGTGAACCTTGTTCTGAGCACGGTGAAGAACTTTTTGCTAAGGGTCAAACCTAGTGCTATTTATATTTCTTGACTAAGCTCGCAAACAGCTGTGACAATTAAAAAAAAAATAGGACGCAGAGCAAATATGATTCAGATTAACATAATTTAGGGCATGTAATGCAACCTTACGTTGCATATTGCAAAGGCAGCAAAGGTTCATATCTGCTAAGGGGCTGTCCATATATTACGTAATCACGTTTTTGGTGATTTTTGACCCCCTGCCCCCCTGGTGATCAAACGTAATCATTCAATAAACAACCCCCCCCATGATTACGTAATCCCCAGAATAAAATTTTGTTTGTTTTAATCTGTGGATTCAAACGGAGATGCAACCCAATCTTTAATATTGTTTATAAATGAAGTTTGGTATGACACATTCGGTTCGTCTACGCTGATATTATCCCCAACATACTCTTCGTCAAGCCATTCCAGGTCTTCGCGTCCTTCGTGTGATTGAACCACTAAACATTCTTTTTTTCGCCGCCCAGCCACTACAAAAATTTTTTCTCTGCTTTCCTATTTAAGTTTGTAGCAGGGACCGTAACTGTTATAAATTTTATTTTAAAAATCACACTTTAACAGTTATTTTCTGATTTGTAAAGTAAAACTCAAGGAATAACTGTTATTTTTTGAGTTCTATAATAAAAGTTGGCAAATAACAGTTATTCGTCGTGATCAAAAATAAAACTCAAACTTGATTTATGGCGATTTTGTGGGTAAAATAAATTTAAAAAAAATATAGGTATAAAATATGCACGGTTGCCTTTTTTAACAAATTTTTAGTAAGTTATATAAAACACGGGAATCATGTTTTTTTTAATTATTTCATTTTTTCAAAAATGTCAAGGGAATAACTGTTATTCATAAAAATCAAAAAATAACAGTTATTTTTTGAGTTTTATTATAAAAATCAAAAAATAAAAATCATTACGGATTTGTAAACTACAATGCGTGATTTTTTTGTATGAAAAATTTACAATAACACTTATTTTTGGTCCCTGGTTTGTAGATATAATTAAAGGAAAAAGTTTTTAAATAAATTCTTTAAATAAAAAAATTAATATAAAATGATTACGTAATCATTGTACAAGACCCCCCCTCCCCATGTAATCAAACATAATCATTTCAATGACCCCCTCCCCCCCTAGGTGATTACGTAATATATGGACAGCCCCTAACGAGGCTTCTAGAATTCATGCGTAAAATATCGGGGCACTGATTTCTTAGCAGCACATCTGAATTTGAGCTACGGGTTTAATGACAGCTCCGGCCCGTCTAACTTAAAAAGGGACGGCCGTAACCAAAACCGAATTTAAATTGTTAACCGAAATAAAACCGCATCCGAATTATTTCAATCTGAACCGAAAAACTGAACCGATATTTAATTCGGTGTAGTCCCTGGAATATAATAAAAATACTATTTTTATTCTTTAAAAAATTAATATCATTGAAACTATTTTTTAACATTATTTCGCAATTCTAAATAAGTTGTTGCCTGGAATCGTATCAAAAATTTATTTTTTTATTTCAATAATTGCATTTAGGGCCGCTTTCTCGAGTCCCTGTCAAAGTCCCTGATAGCTATCTGTTCGAAAAACTTAAAGACCAGATAAACTGTTCGTAAAAGCAAATCCGCTTTCTCGACTGCTTTAATTTATCTGAACGAGAAACAATTACAATTCAAAGGAAAAGTCAACTGTGATTTCGTTTCTTCTTCATAGTTGGCTTTGGGAAATCAGCTGTCATTCTATCGAGCCGAAAACGCTTAACAGGGACTCCGAGTCCCTGTCAAAGTTAGCTCTCACATTGGTGCTCGAGAAAGCCAAAATGCCTTAGCAGGGACTTAATCTGTTCGAGAAATGTTAGCCGGCACTCGAGAAACCGGCCCTAAGAGACTAGAATAAACGTCAAATACGTCTTATTCACTGCGTTGCAAACTTCTAACTGAAAGCATTATACTCTCTGCGAAGAAAACCAATTTGAACAAGAGAGAACGCTATAGTCGGGTTGTTGTCCCGACTATCTAATACCCGTCACTCAGCTAAAGGGAGTGCGAGCACTGTGTCGGGTTGGTGTCCCGACTAATAATCGTAACTCAGCTAAAGGGAGTGCGAGGGAGATAGATATATAATTTTTGATTGCGTATAACTTTTTAATGAATGGTCCGATTTGAAAAATGTCTTCTACATTTCGATAGGTATAAATATACACAATAAAAATGCATTTATACTTCTCGGAAATTTTTAAAGATGTGGGCGCAGGACCCATTTTAAAATCGTTAGTGGGCGATTGTGGGCGTTAGAGGGGGCGTGGCGCTCGGCTAAAATAAACTTGCGCTGCGTAGGAAGCCAAAGAATATGTGTGGGAAATCTCAACCTTCTAGCTTTTGTAGTTTCTGAGATCTCAGCGTTCATACAGACGGACAGACAGACAGACGGACAGACGGACATGGCTAGATCGACTCGGCTAGTGACCCTGATCAAGAATAAATATACTTTATGGGGTCGGAAACGCTTCCTTCTAGCTGTTACATACTTTTGCACGAATCTAGTATACCCTTTTACTCTACGAGTAACGGGTATAAAAATGTGAAAAAATATTTTCTGTATTTAATTAGGTAATTTCTAATATTCTAACGCAATATTTAATCTCAATCGCCTAGTAAATGTGAAACATCTGAAAAAATAACTTAATCAATTTAAAACGGGTTTCATGCAAATCAGGATTTCTTGTGCGTTTATTTAAATAAATTATTGACTTAGGGCCGGTTTCTCGAGTCCCTGTCAAAGTCCCTGATAGCTATCTGTTCGAAAAACTTAAATACCAGATAAACTGTTCGTAAAAGCAAATCCGCTTTCTCGACTGCTTTAATTTATCTGAACGAGAAACAATTACAGAGTGCTGTTAACGCACAGAATTGTGCTGTGAAGGGCAAAAAATGGCGTGCTTCGATTATTTCATCAGCTGTTTGGGTATAATTCAAAGGAAAACTCAGCTGTGATTTCGTTTCTTATTCTTAGTTGGCTTTGGGAAATCAGCTGTCATTCTATCGAGCCGAAAACGCTTAACAGGGACTCCGAGTCCCTGTCAAAGTTAGCTCTTACATTTATGCTCGAGAAAGCCAAAATGCCTTGGCAGGGACTTTATCTGTTCGAGAAATGTTAGCCGGCACTCGAGAAACCGGCCCTTAGTTGTTTAATTGAATATAATTTAAAAGACGTTGTCGAATAAAATTAAATATCTGTTATAATTTATTAAACTGCTGCTAGTGAGACCATGTGGGTCCAAACCAAATAAAACCGCGACGGACTATCGATTCTCCAGCCGCAGCTATCGATAGACGCACTGCACTGCATCGGTCTTCCCATCCCTAGCAGTGCAACAACAAAATTCCAACGCAACGCCAACCAATTGTGCAAAAAAAAATTCTAAAATTAGGATAAAAGTGTTAAATAGATCAAAAACGCGTTGTTTTTCTAAATCGTAATTCGCAGTGCGGTTTGGCCAATACGTGAGCTTATCTTATCTGTGTGTGTTCGTCAAACACACCTATACGAGTGCGTTTTTCGCGTCCCTTTCCCTCCCCTTTTTCTTGTTCTTCCTCTTCTATAACTGTGTCAAATCAACAACAACAATAAAAAATAGAACAGTGCTCGTGTGTGAGTGTTTGTTAAATGCACAAATTGATAAGCAATTTTGTTCAATTTAATCTAGTTTAAATCCTATAAAAATCAGTGCAGCAACAGCGGCCGAAAATAAAATATAAATAATATATTACTAATCCATATAAATAGAATACCCTTGAGTGGTTTTTGTGTCACTAATTAATTCAACACATTTTTGGTTCCGCATTTTTTTTGAAATTATAACGAAGTTCCAGCTATCGAGAACAACAACAAAAAGCGGTTTTTGTTTGTTTTTCAAGCTCAACGAAAAAAAGAAGAAAAGAAATCCGCTCCCAATCAGCTGTTCCAAGCGGCCGCCTAAGTGCGAGTGAGACAGCCTACCTGCGCGCCAAAATAAAACAACAACAAAAGTGGCACAGTGGTTCAAAGCATAGCTAAATTTTATAAATCAATTTATTTTATAGAAGAAATATTAAACTAATTATACTTATATATATCTGTTAAGGTAAGTAATCATTATTCAGTAAATATTAACAAATATTTGAATTCTTAACATTTATTTTCTCAAGTTTTTTAAATCGTTTACATTTAATACGCGTGTGACCAAAAGAAGTGAAAAATAAGTAAAAGTGAAAAATGAGTGATGAAACGGGAGATTCGGGCGGGGCAACTGCCCCACTTCCATCGCCAGCTAGTGCGGATCCGGATCCAGGAGCTACTGCCTCCAAAATACCCGGTCCAGCCAAATCCAATATTCCCACGCCGGCTGCTTCAGTAACCGGAATCCCACAGCCCAGCAAAATGAAGGCACCATCCAATTTCGGCTCTACGGGGTCTGTTTCCAAAATCGGAAGACCCTGCTGCAATCACACAACCCCTAAGTCGGGGCCACCGCCAAGAGGTGAGTTTAAGACGTTTGTATAACAAAACAAACCCGGTAATTCTATAGTTTATGCTTAACATTTTTGGGATATTGGAGGGAGACTTATTGTGAAATTTATCTTTATGTGAACTACTTATTTCACCTCTCAATATAATATCAGATGATGTTATTTTTATTGAGATTGCCGATAACAAACTAGTATCGTTGGGCATAGGGATTTCCTAATTTCATTTTTTTACTGGGTTTTAGGTCCCATCAAAGCATTTACAAATTAATCAATCGGTAATCAAGAACCAGCACCTCTTTGAAAACGTTGTCAATGTCATATACAAATTAACATCTCAACTTGCTCCTTCCAATCAATTTACAATTAAACAAATATATTTTAAAGTTGTTTTCCTCTTTTTGTCCGAGCCAGTAATCGTTTCAAAATATTAATTATTTTGGATTTGCAAAAAAAATATCGCTTAGTAATATGTTTTAATAGTTAAATATTCGTTCAAAAAGTGTTCAAAAAGTAAAAAGAAAAAAATTAAATTAACAAATAAAATGGGTATTACAACAAAAAAGAAATCGAAAAAGAAGGGTAAGCTAAGCATAAAGATCTCTTAACCATTTTCTAACAAATTTTAAGACTAAATTTGTCATCAAACAACTTGATCTTAAAAAGGGAAATTTTATCTATTTGTACGCCCCACTTTCAACCTTTTGTAATTTTAAGATTGCACTAATTTTGTGTTTACATCTTGGGCTCAAACAAGTCGTCTGTAATTCCGGTTCAAACCAACTGCAACCACCTACATACATTGGCACCCACTATTTGCGAATGCAATGATCTAATGGAAACGATCAGAGACCCACTCACTTGCTGAAAATATATACACTGACCCCACCCACTTTGAGTGCACTTTTTGCACTACATTGAACTTTACAAAAAAATGTTACAAACATTTATGTAAATTCCTTTAAAGAGGGGAACCCATTAATAATATCAATGTGTAATTCCCATCGTCAACCGATTTGTATAGTAAACAAATGCTTCACTTCACTCAATTATTTAATCGTTTTGGTACACCAACGCGCAAGACAAAAATAAACAAAACAAATTGCCGCCCACTCTCAACTCTCGATCATAATTATAGAGCTTCCCCGAAAAGTGTTTTTTGGGAAGGAGAATTATGGCCAATTAGGCAAGTGCTGCTACCATTTAATTGATCCGCCCATTGTGGCTCATTTCAGGCACGTAACCTAACCGCAACCGTCAACAACCGACGACCCACTAGCCTATATAGCAAACGATCTGCCAAACGATCCATCGATCGATCGACTGGTTTTCTATTTCACAGGCACACGTTCCATATCCAATTGGCAGTCGCAATGCAACCGCAAAATTGTAGAAAGCCTCCCAAAATAAACGCAAAAATGTATTGCAATATTGTTACAGATTAAACTGAGTCACGAGGTGCATATGATGCGTACACTGGGTGTAAAAATTATAGCACCGATGACAGAAGTTCACACGGGGCAGCGAGCACTATGAATTAAGCAATCACATGTGCTAATTTTGATTGCCACTTTTATTAGATTGTATAGAAAATTATTTGTAATATATTATTCTATTGGGACAGGCAATAATGTCTAGTTACATTACATATAAAAGAAAATACTGTAAATTTTTTGTTCTTGGTAAAAATAATAAAAAATTCCATGCGATAAACCAGATTAGAAAGAATTTCTGTGCTACTTTAGAATACTTTAAGCAATTACTAATATAAGACACAGAAATTCGACTCGCTGCTTAAAACGTAATCAGTTCCAAGCTCAACGCTTTAATCCGCTGGCTAGATCAGCTTTCTAAAATCTCTCCTAACATTCTGAAACGGACTGTTTGACTCTCTGCCAAGACCTGTCATTTACCTCGCAACACTCAATGTCACACGTCTGTGAAATCTCCCCAACTCGAAACCGAGAAAACCTGGCGACCGGCCGGCAATCTTTCTCTCCGTCGCTCCCTAATTGAATTTGCTTTGGCGATGACACAGAAAATATACACAAAATGTATCTTCTAGTATGTCTGTATGTTTCCGATCTTTCGAGGTGTTTTTGCGCTGCGCATTTTGATGCCGGGTTCCGTTCTCAGCCGATCTGATATGATCATTGCGGTCGCCCCATGATGGTTGTGCTCGTGGATGAGCTTATGTCACTTTTATTGTTTTCGATCGGAAACAAAAGTGGAGCCAGCCTCTCTTCCACCCATAAAACAGAAAGCCCATTTGTCTTCGCATTAAGATTGAATCAAAATCGGGTCCGGGATTGACGTCTAATGGATGAGCATCGTCTGGCAGGGGATTACTCCATTAGATTCTAGATTAAGCTAAGATTTGTTTACATCACCAACTCAGTGGGAGAGTCAATATTGATGTTATGATTAACAACTTTTTGTCTTACTTATTTGACTTCACTTCATTAAGTCGTTGAAATCTTTTTAATTGAAGACACGTGTTGAATATTTAAACAAAAAACGTTTCAGATTTTAACAAAAAAGAAAGAGTATCTTATCTAAAAAGGCAAAGAGCAATCTTTGATACAATAGGTCATGTTTTTCAAAAAGTGTAATGCCTCGTGTGGTATAAATTCAAAAAAATGTAAAAAAGATCTTCCTATAAACTGTTTAAACATTTTCAATTAATTTCCTTATACCTTATTCTTAGAACAATATAAATATATTTAACTGTATTTAGCTCGAAATGTATTAGGAAGATCAGTAATTTAATCTCTCAATGCAAATGTTAATTTGTTTTACTACATGAAAAATTAAAATTTTAAGACACGCATTGTTGTGTTAACTTCAACAAGTGGTTTAGAACTTTCAAAAGCGAAGGCAAATATTATTTAAAGTAACGTAAGCATTGGCTAAATAAGCAAGAATTAAAGAAAATCAAATAAAAATGTGTTATAATAATAATAACACTTATAATATGGGATACTGAAAAAAAAAATATGGTAGTCTCAATAATTTTAAATATATTTTAAAAGTATGGGAATTTCTTAGAATCTCCTAAGATTCTTTTACTTAAACTTTTGATGAATCATTACTTATGATAAGTTATTTTCTTAGTAATCTCAATAAAGCTCTGAAAAGAAAAGAAATGTAGTAGGTACTTATACAAATTTTAATGTTTAATCTAGAAGTTATTTTGATGAAACTAAATAATCTTTTTTGTAGGAAAAACAAACCTTTCAACAAAATTTAAGATAAAACTAAAACGTAATTTTTAACATGACTCATCTTCCCAATTATTTTTGTGAATCTTTCGTTGCACTTATGGACAAAGTGATAAAAACCATTAAGCGATCGATCAATATCAGATCGGAAAAAAGGGACAACAATTGCAGCCATGTGGCAACACTTTGTTTGCTGGATTTACTTAACGTACGCGTCTGTGCAAAAGTCGAAAATAAAAACAATTTTTTTACGGCTCTTATTTTACGCGAGTAAACGTTTATTCAATAAAAACACAGAAAGCGCGGAGGCATTGCCACAGTGTCTGCTATTAAACACTGGCCAACAAAGCTGCGACTCCGGATTGCCAATCCGCTTCGACGCTCTCTCGCAGCGAAAAAAAATATCTCAAAGTTGGCGCTGGCTTCGCTTTGCGATTGGCGCTCGCCGTTCAGTTACTTGAACGACTTTTCGCGAGGCGGACGTGTTGGACGCGGGATTCCAGCTCAGATGGCAACCAATTGAACTTGATCGGCTCTATACTATAGCTTTTATATAGTGAACACGCAAACGAAATTGAACAAATCCAAAATAAAAGCCAGCTTTAACATAAAACTAATTCATCGTTATAAAACTCACAAAAGGTGATTTGAAGTGCCAGCCAAAATTACAAACATTGTATCTGAATACTAAAGACTCAAAATATCTGGGGCTCAAAAAGAACTGTAAAGGCAAAATTGTTGTAAACCTTTTCTTCCTGTCCTTGTCGATGCCCTAAAAGGATGCCAGTTTATTTCGGTGCAAGATATTTTTGGAAACTTTTGTTTTTCATATTTCAAGTGACAGCCTTTGACCTTGGATTCGTCTGGTTGATTCCCATTTGTTAATCAAATGTATTCTTTTGTTTCTGTGTGGAAATGTGATTTGGCTTTCAGAATTGTGGCCTCATAAATATTTATTTAATTTTTTGGTCTTAGCCCAGCCCAGAAGTTTTCAAAGTTCTTTTGTTTAATTTGGTTTTATTGCATTAAGCGATAAGATATTTAGTTACTATCTCGTTAAATTATAACATTTTTAGGTGCTTATCATTTTCCCCGATTTTGTTAGGGCTTGGCTCTTTTCTGTCTACTCAATTTAATGGCAACGATAATTTGGCAATCGGAAAGAAGGTCAATAAATAACATTCCGAAATTTCCGTGGTTTTTACTGTCGTGTGACTAATTTAATACCAATAGTGAAGTTTAGCTATTATTTTCAAATTAAAATAAATTAATAGTAGTCATTTTGCGAAAATAAAGACCTAAGGTAACTAAACAAGGATATAGAAAAATTAAAATCAAATGATCTTAAAATTGGTTAATAGATAAATCCGTTTTTGAAGTATTTCTTTATACTAAAAAACTTTTCTGAATCCTGGAAAAACTCTTTAGCAATTTGCAAAAATAAAATCAAAGTTAACTTAGCCAAGCACATAGAAAAAAGACTTAAGTCCAAATATATATCATTAAATCTCAAAATTGATTCAAAGTTAAATCCGGTTTATTCCCTTTTAAAAGAGACTTCTAAGAACTGTAAAAAACACCAGAAAACAACAATTCCTAGGGTTTGGCCCTTGGCATTTGTACTTTTTCACTTTCCGTAAGCCAGTTTATATGTATTGCAAACGTAGCTAATTACGGATTTTCCGCTGACATCCCCTTTTTCCTGTTTACAAGTACTTACATAAGTAAATTAACGCACAAAAAACATGTAAATGGGCTAAGCACGTGTCCCCAACCTCCCTCTCATTGAAATGTCGGCTAAATCGCTTCGATAACCTTAAGGCATTCTATATCTATCTATCTACAATAAACTCTAAGCGACAACAAAAGTTTATTTGCCGAAACAGCAATAACAAAGTTCGGTTGCGGATTGTATTGAAAATTTGCGGTTAACCGCTAATTAGATATACAAATTTGTTATTGCTGATTTGTATTTTGACTGAAAGAGACACAACTGCTGATCAGTCTAAAAATACGTACATATATATGCGAAATGGAATGACTTTCACAGGGGCAATATTTGCATATTGCCTAAGACTTTGATTTTTAGTGCAATTTGGTTTTTGTTTTTATTTGTTTGTGATTTTTTCCTTTTTTGTGGGGCTTGTCGTTGACGTCTTATTGCCAAATGAAGTTGGCTTCCACCGACGGCTAACACTGTATGCAAATTTCAATTTTTATATTTAGTTGTCTGCGGCTAACTTTCTTTCCGTTTTGCGGCTTTCATTTCACTGCCACGTTCCGTTCGCATAACGCACATTTTGTCTGCCAATTGTCTAAATATTTTGGACCAGGCCAAGTGTTTTCAATCGCCTTGGCTTTGGCATTGCTATTGTTAACTGGTATTTTATCAGTCCAACATTTTTTGTGTTGTTTTGTGGTGGTTGTAGTTGTTATTATTATTTTGGTTCTATTGAAACCGGCGCAACAACAGTGCTGTGATAAGGAATCACATTTTTATTTTGGGTTTCATTCTCTCTTTGGCTGCGACATTGCCAACACAAAAACGCTCTAACTGTTGCTGTTGCCATGTTATCTTTGAATTAGAAATGAGAGTGAGATTAACAAGTGTTATTTCGCTAGGTAGTGAAATTCTTACTCATTTTGGATGCTGATAATTATACTGATTGTAGCAAGAGAATACAAGAAATCTTCAAGGAATGTGAAGTTGATTAAAGGGGAATTTTAGATAAAATCTTTTGAGTCTGTAAAAGAATTTCAAAATAAATTAAGATATGTTTGTTTATTAAAACTAAAAGATTAGATATTAGATAGAAAAAAGATAGTGAGAGTCTGGGAAACTATGGTCCTATAGTATTGTATCTTTTAAAACTTAATCTTTTAATAACAGGAATATACAAATTTACGTTTTAAAAATATAATTTATTGGGAATTTTACAAAAGTTTCAAGGCTTCTGCTGCTTACACAAATGGAATGGAAAGATCGTATATAGAACTAGATACCCAAAGATTACACAATCCACCTGTGCAAACGTGTGGGAGTGTGGGAGCGATGTCATAAAGCCTTTTAAAGGCATAACCCTGACAAAATGATCATCCCATCTGTCCAACTGGGATATATACCTATAAATTATATTTCACACCAACTTCCGAACACATTCTATATACTTTTATATATTTGCTGTGGATCCCGGCAATAATGATCTGTCGTCATTCAACACAATTTACTCGGTTTGTTTACACAATTTTATTGTTGCTGTTGGCGTTTGTTATATTTGATTTATATTTGCCTATATATTTTTGAAGCTTCCCAATGAGCTCAGCTTGGTATTTGTTCTACAATTGTTGGCCTTAGTGGGTGGGTGGTGCATGTGGCGTATGAGTAATATTCGATACTATTAGATTACTTATACGCACCTTTGTGCCCCTGCTAATTTGCATTGCACTTTATTTGCCATTTATGAGCATTTAATTGCGGTAAATGCGCTTTTCTTCGCCTAATTGCTTTTCACACGCCTCAAAAATGATTTTTTTGTTTTGTATTTATTGTGTAGTCTTTTTTCTTTGCTTTTCCGCCGGCGGCGCCTTTTACTTTTTCTGTTACTGACTTCCCCGGCAGTTTAATTACAGTTTCTTTGACTAAACACAAATCGGTAATGAAAAGAGAAAAAATTGAAAAAGGTGTAACCACCTTTGGTTAATTAATTTTTATGGTCCGTACCTGGTTTTCTACTTTTTCGATTATGAAATGATATTTTAGTTTGCACCTGCTTTGCTTTAAAACCATTTCAAATGATTTATTGTCACAACTGAGTGAAGCGGAGTCTTTCTCTGCATATTCGTGTAAACAAACCCATTATTGCCTTCATTTTTGTACGATCTTTTTTTGGTAAGCTTACTTTTGCCCGTATTTTTTGATCGTTTTCTTTGTTGAGATACTTTTCTGCTACTAATGAATTATCTGCCTCTGTATTTGTCGTTAGCTTAATGGAAGTGTTCAATAAGAAGAGTCACAAGAACCTCACAAAAGGAAAGCTATTGCGTTCTTAGAATTCTACACCAATGTTAGATGTTTTTTGTATTTATTTATAATATCCCGACTATCTCTATTTAGTTTTTTCTTTGTTGTTTGATGATTTACTAAACCTCAAATAAAAATGGGTTCCGGGTATTTCACCTCCCATTTTTTATTCAACCATTTTAAACCAAAGCCAACAATTAAACAACAATTTTATACACTTTTCCTTCACTTTTTGGTCATTTTTGGTGTTTTTTTTTGTTTGCTCATTGTTTGGCTTACACTTCAGTGCTTTTAATTATTTTGTATGCAATAAAGCTCTAAGCAAGAACAGAAAAGCAAAAGTCAAATAAATTAACACGTCACTTACATAATTCTCGCACTGAAGCACTTAAGTCTCGCTTGAAATAGCCCCAAGTGCTAAGTTAAAATGTTCAACAGAAATGCGTACTTAAAAATATTTGTTAAATTAAAATTTAATGAGTTATACTCGAGGGGTTTATTGAAATAAAAGAAGTATTACTTTTTTATAATTACAATTTTCGATAAATTTTAAACGTTTCGGAAAGAAATGGGAAATAATTCTTATTTAAAATGTAAACAAAATAATAATTAAATGGTATGCCTAGCTTTGCCAAATGTCAAAACTTTACTTAAACCAAAACTTAAGTGACTCCCATTAGAGATGATGGATGATGGGCTCTCCTTTAATGATGACATTAATATCCATTTTCGACTCCTAAATACAGTTATAACTTGCGACACGCCCACATTTTGAAGTCTTCGATCGACCAGTCGAAATAAATTCCAATTCCAATTATGTGTGGGTTGCACAATCGAAACTGACCAAATACAAAGCAAATTACTTTCAGCATTCTTCGCAAGCTTTTCGGCCAAAAGTTATTGAAGAGTCTTTTTCATAATTTGACAAAAGCAAGCAAACAATAATTAAGTTGTTTTTCAGCTTATCTCAAGATCGAAAACACACGCGTCTGTTGGAATATTAATTATTCTCAAATAAAAGGTATAAACACTTAAGTTGCTTATTTGTTGAACTCTTCTCCTTACGTTGTTAATTATGGCTTTGGTAAGCAAATATTGATTGCAGGTGGAAAAGTCAAATGTCAACACAAATTTATGTTTAGGATTCTCTTTTCTTTTTTTTATAGGTCATTAATTGGTGTCTAGTTTCGTTCTGTGATTGGAACTTGTTTTTTTTTAATTTTTTGCATAATATTGATGGATTAATTTGTCTGAAAATGCTAATTTATGTTGGCGAAGCATCTTCAGATTGTGTTACCCAAGGGAATAAATTGACATTAATTTTATAGTCATTGAGTTTCGTGATCCAGAAAGTGTGCTATTTTTTGGATGTATCTTGTTAGCAACCTCGTTATTCATTAGTATTTTTAAACAGTTTTATAGATAACGAAATGGTAGAAGTATCCTCCAAATAATCAGTAAGCTGAGTTGATTTTTTGGGGGATTACTGGTTATAAGCTTCGAAATTCAGCAAAAATATCGTGTTACTTTTATATATTTGATATTTATTTTATATTTATATCAAGTTTAAATCTCAAATTGGATTTTTAGCTGATCATTTTTAATGACACTTAGATGTTTGATAAAACAATTTAAACTGAATAATATGTAAATATACTCTCGTATAATTTGTTGTGTGTTCGTTTTTAATCTTATAAAGAAACACTGCAACAAGAGTTAATGCTGAGTTTTTCCAGAATATCATTTGAGTCTGCGGAAGCAGTTTGCTAAGCTGCCTATATCTTTCAAGCAATTCCAAGAAAACATTCACCCAACACTCTCTTAGTTATCTAATCTCTTGAAAATGAAAAAAAATCTCTTTTGGGGTGGGGAGGTTGATCTGCCAGAGCGACCCATAACTAATTGCCACTTTTGCACTTTACTTTTTGTATGCCTTTTATTTTAGCCACATTTTCTTGGCTGAGCTTTCTTGGCCCGTTACCATGGCCTGAATTCGCTTGGCTTAGCCCCGCAGCCCTTAGCTGTAATTATATTTTAATATTAAGCTAACATTTTTGTGCTGTTAATTTTTCTATGCTCATTTTGCGTTTTTTGCGCTTGTTTTCTTCCGTTTTTAATTTTATTTTTAGACACCGCCAGCATGAGTCGTGAAAGCGATGACAATTTAAGTTCGATCAATTCGGCTTATACAGGTAAATATACTTTTATGTTTCACTTATATTTAATTGATTGCATTTATTTGTTAATTTTAATTGGCTTCTGCGTTTCATTTAATCTCTTCCCATGACATTTTTAATTTATAATTAATTTTCAATTAATTGCTTGTTGATGTGGGCGAAATTATCACATCAGTGTTAACATCTTTTTGGGAATAACATTAATCGATATGGAGTTCGATGGGAAATATTTGCAAGATATTAATAAGTCATAAACATTTGAAGGTGAAGTAATAAAAGTCAATTATGGCATAATAAAATCTTTGACTAATTTACGTTTATCTGAGCTCTGACTCTTATTAAGAAAAGAGAAAGAAAAACAAAATCAAATTGGAACACATATGTTTATTTTATTAACTCTATAACCTAGTTACCTAAAATTTTGAAAGGGAAACTGAATTCTTCTGTATCTTATCGGGCTTGTTTACTTTTATCGACTTAGTAATCATTTCCATTTCATTAACAAGTTGTGTTCCTCAATGCAATTTGTATTAACCCTGAAATATGACACTGTTCCTTACTCTCTAAACTTTTGGTTCAGTGATCTCCGAACAGAAAACAGACGTCTCATTGCCTTATCTACTTGTGTATGCACATCTTCTCTCGGATAGGCAAAATGTCAAAACAATCTCACGATTGTATCTATATCCCATTCATATGTTCCAATCAAAGGCCCATCAAAGTCGCCGTAATCAGTCATAATTTTAATCGCTTTTTACCTTAGCCGCAGGGCATGTTCATTAGTCTAAAATCGTCTTTATAGACAATGTGTTCATTGGAATGTCCATTCAACTGTGTGCCCTTCTGCCACATGTGCTTTGTATTTTTTATTTCGCATTCGAAACACGTTCTAAACTTAAACAAATTTTAATTGTAATGCGAAATACGCGAGTGGAACAGAGGCCCAACCGGATTTTTTGGATATTTACTATATAGTATACATCTATAATTAATAATATATGGGACACGCCTTTAAGCGATCAGCGCGAGTCACGTAAGCATCTTCAACTGGAAAACCAGTTTTCTATTTGGTGAAATTCTAGTTTTTTGCACAAAGATTACTGTTGAAAACATTTAGCATTTCCAGTAATGGCAAATAAATATTCATATAAATGCAAAGGCGATGCAATTATTGTGTGCCCAGAACAATGAGCAGAATTAAATCAATTGAGATAAAAATTGGCATGCTAGAACAGGTACAGTGGGGATTATTTTAGGTCGCAGATATGTAAACGTTGAGGAATACTGACTCAAGACGTCAGGAATTACAAAGATTAAATCGGGGCTTGTAACTAAATTACTTTTAGCCACACCCCCAAATAAAAGTTGTATTTATAACTGTGCTATATTTACCGACTGCTCTGTCATTAAAAGCTTCACTGTAAGCACTCGTCCATTTCAGTGGAAATGTCGGAGCAGCCCACAGTGATCAGGAATGAGAGATCGCCAATCAGCAGCTAATAATCAGTTTTTGTCGGCATTTGCCAGAGAGACTCGCAGATGGATTTGCATTAAACATGCCGAAAAGTCATGTAAGTCATGCACAGTCCGAACCTGGGGTTGTGAAAAACTACTCGATATGTGGGTAGCCGAAGCTGCAGTAAAAACTGGACAAAAATTGTTTACTACGGCAGGAAAATACACAAGAAAATGTATTACAAAACCTCTATGTAGGAAAAACAGAAAGTCTTTTATTGCCAAAAGACAAAACAATTTATATTAGTTAATTATAAATTAAAGTATATTTGGAGGTTTTTCAAGAATCCTGAAATAATCCTTTGAATTATTTAATCAACGCTGATATAATTTTATTTCATGCTAAGAAGTAGACTTTTAAATTTAAAGACCCTCTTGAAAATGTAGATTACCATCAACACTACACTCATAAAAAAAAATCGAAGAATTTCCTTAAAATCTAGAAAATTCTTTCTTGAATTTTTGCCAAAGGCGACCTCACCTTTGTTTCAAGAAATGGTTTTTTTGAAAGGCACCATTAAAACAAGAAAAAATATTTCTTGTTTTAAGAAATTAAATTTCTTAAAACAAGAAAGGGTTTTTTAGAAAGCCACCATAAAAACAAGAAAAAATATTTCTTAAAACAAGAAAGGCGATTCTTGTTTCAAAGGTGGTTTGTTTCTTGTTTCAAGAAATTAAATTTCTTAAAACAAGAAAGGGTTTTTTAGAAAGGCACCTTTTAAACAAGAAAAATTCTTTCTTGTTTAAATTTCCTTTCAAGAAATTTTATTTCTTGATTTAAGAAATAATATTTCTTGAAAGGAAGTTTTATATTAACACTGAAACCCTAAAAATAAAATGTAACTTGGTTTTTTCTTTTGCATATTATATTTATTTACATTTAAAACATTTAACACTTAACATTTAAACATTTTTAAATAACACATTTTTGACTCAAGAAAACATTATTATTACCCAAGGTCTGTTGAACTTCATATGACCCAAGGTGATCCATTTTCTTCGCCTTTCCTCATCTATAAAAAAAAGAGTTATTGGGATATCAATGATTTGTTTTTAGATGAACAACTTTTTTGAAATAATGTAATGTTAATAATAGCCAAAATACAAACACGTTGGACAGACGACCGAGGGAGAGGAGCAAGACAGGTAGAAAATGAAGGGTTGAAAATCGAATTTCAGAGAGAGAGAGGCACGGGAGAGACACGTACATACATACATATATATTTACATACAGTCCTTTGCGCGAAGGGAGACCGAATGTAAGCAGGGCAGATCGTGTCAGTTTTAAGAAGGTGAAGAGAGAAACGTCGCGACGCGTAGGTCAAGCGAGCGAGAGAGACGAGCAGAATATGAAAGGGTTGAAAATCGGGTTTCAGATCGGGTGAGCCGCGTACATGCATAGATATTTACATGCATACATAAGTATGTCAAACAAATACAACATATTTTTCTTACCTTAGAAGGTTTTAAAACAAAATTACAGCTTCTACAAACAAATTATTTGGCTGATGCAACTGCAGGTATTTTCACTCTGAAAAATAAATAAAATGCGAGTAATAAGATAAAGTTATTATAGAACTGTACACCCACAAATTTATGTACAAATGTATGTATGTACGTAGCTCTTAGCTAAAAAACAATTCACCTAAATTGGTATACGCTTGGTAAAGAGATTTGAAATGTATCCTTTAATTACATACATACAATTGTACGCCCGCTATACAAAAAATTATATACATATTTACATACCTTTGAATATTCGGAAAAAGGCTTCACCTCTTATCCGCTTGAAAATCACGTCCATCACTCACGAATTTTTTTCACAACTGACGCTCGGGGGATCAGAGAAGTCGGTAGCCGGGTAGGCCCTTCGTCCCACTTCGTTTTTCTTGTCGTTAACATTCGGCAGCCGAAGGAAGTCAATGGCTACTTTCCTATATTCTAGGGTCATTTCATTCATATATTCAAAGGTGATTTTGTCATTAAATACGTACAAAAATGTTTTGGCTGCGACGGCAAAACAAACATATGAGATTTTCATTTTTCTATTTTTAAGAAAAATTCTTTCTTGAATTTTTTTCATCAAGAAAGGTTTTCTGTATTCAAAGGACAATTTTCTAATAACAAGAAATTTTTTTTCTATTTTCAAAGGTAGGCCGATTCAATGGCGAGATTTCCAAAATTTAGAAATTAATTTTTATGAGTGTAGAAATAATAATTTATTATTTGATATTATTTTATGTTGGAATTTTCGTTCAGTGTAAAAACCCACATTAAATCGAGATACGAATCGCCCAGAACTGCAATGGCAACCTACACAAGGAGGTAAAAACGATGAGAAGGAGATCGGGAAGGCGGTTTGGCGACCTGCGCACAGTTTAGTTTAATTAAATGTTGTTTAATCATCTCAAAAGATAATGTGCTATTGACATGGCCAGCACTGTTGGCTGATTTATCGCCGGCTAGCGCGCGATCGACCCGCCATAAATGGCTGGCGAAATATTTGTTTTCGATTTCGACGTATCTCTGGGCTGCTTCATTTTGGCCAGAATCGTGAGCAAAGTGGGTCGCAGCCGGGCCGGGTTGCCTTTTGGCCAAGTCAAGTCAACTATTGGCGGCGCCACACTCCACTTGGCTTTGGCCGGGCGAGCGGTGTGCTCTTTGATGATTCATCTGTATCTGTCAGATACATGAGTTCATTAGCAGCACTGACACTGAATGTCAACTGCAAGGAAATTGTTTGTCATCTAGGTGCGTGCGTATTTTTAGAATGACGACGTTTCACAGTTAAATGTTGCAAATTAACGGAGGTGAGGGGAAAGGTGCTTAAATTAGCGAAGGTAAAGTCCAGTCTGATTTATTGCCTGACATTGGCTGCTGTTCAGCCATTACATAAAACGTCAGTTGTTACCGATACGAATACAGAACGGAGCAAAGGCGGAGAAAATGTTTCCCCTTTTTACAATTAGTGAAAGTTTGCCAAATACAAAAAAAAAGGGAACCACTCGCCACGGTACACATACAAACGGTTACAACGCCCAATTGTGATAATTAAAAAAAATGGTTACGAACATGTGGGATATAGAAAATAAATTGCTACCGTCATGATGTATAATGGCAAATAATAACAAATTGTCTTGCACGATCGGCGAACGGTAGCGAATGCCAGTATATCTGCCAGATACAGTATACAGTATACAATTGAACCTTGAAGTTGGCTGGCTGGCTGGCCAACTCATGTCATGTCATGGCTGGGCCAACGCAATCGGTTGATTAGCCAAAAACAGTAGCCCACAAGACACAAAAGCCGGTCGAAAGCATCTTCAACACACTCGTACTCAAGCAGAGCATGTCTGGCGTAAATTACAAATGAAGAAAAATTATTATAAAAACGGGGAAAATAAAAGCAATTTCAGCTGACAAAAACACAATTAACTACATGACGTATACACGCTGAGGTTTTCACAGCGCACAGCTGAAGATGAAGCAGGTACACAGGAAAAAATGTATACCTATTAAATCATTTTACAAATAAATGAATATTGGTATTATCTAATAAAATATAATGTTCATATATTTGACTATACATAAATTAAGAAATATTGAAACTTTCAATTTAAGAATTAAATTTTTATTTATTTTTTGAGCATAAACTTTTTTTTTGTGTACTGAAAAGTAAACGGAAACCGAAATCGTGCAATTGAAAAATTGAAATCTTTTCTCGATCTCCTTCCTTCTCGGCAGCATCTCTTTTGTCCGCTGCAATTGTGTTTTTAAATCTCCTGCTGTCTGTCATTCAATGGGGCTTTGAAAACGTTACCAAACTGTCGACAATTTAATTGATTTATGCTTTTATTGCTCTTTCTTGTGGAGTTTTGGCAAAAGTGTAAATTGAATTTGAAAGTTGCAGTTGAAAGAGGCAGAATGCGTTACAGATCAATATCAATAAACAATTTGACACACATAATTTAGTGAAAGATAGAAAAGGCCAATTCAAAAAACCTACTTTGGTGGGTTTTTAAATTTGAGAGCAACAATAGCTTTTGTGCATATTTTGAATTATTAACACGGCTTTGTAAAAGAAAGATTTTAAGTTTCTGATATATATATATATATTTTTTTTTTAACTTTTTATTATTAAATAAAACAGATAAATCAGAGAAATTTTATTAAGTTTTTTAATCAAAATCATATTACAAGCACACGCCAATCTCCTCTCTCTTTAAGCTATATATATATTTTTTTCGAGCTTAATAACATCTCAGATTACCGTTCGCTATTTTTTGTGCCATCTAACCTTTACCACAACTGCTTGCGGCCAAGATCTTATTAAAGACAAGAAACCTTAGCACACAAGCTGCCAAAAAACTTTCACAACCCAAAAGAGCAAATTGGGCTTAACACAAATGCGCTAATTTTTAACCAATACATTTACCTATATAACAACAAAAAGGGGAAATGTCAGGAAAACTGGCTGCACGGCTTGTTCAGTTAACACCCACGAAAAACACTGCGAAATGTTAAACAATTGCAAATGCATTTTATGGAAATTCAGCTTGACTTCATGTATATGTATGAACTCGTCTATAGATCTCTATCAAGAGACTGTCAGGCGCTTTACGCGATCTTCGCTCTCACCCACATCCGATTGGGATCGCTTTTCGCCCGGCAGACGTTCGCTAAAATCGGAGGCTGGAAGTCGCACATCTTGTAAGTTCTTTGCCCGCCATCGCCATTTTGCCAGCCGCATGTATCTTTATCTGGTATCTCGTTTTGTATCTGTATCTTTTTCTGTTTGTTTTGTTTTCGTTTCTGTTTTTGTTTGCCAACGCTAAAGATGATTATTATCTAGAGGCCACTGGGCGACGTCGCAGCTCAGGTAAGCATTCGCTACGATTGTGGGAGGATTTTACACCGATCTTAAGTTACTGACGAAACAGTATAATCTTTGGGTTATTATAAATGTAAAGAATCCAATTCTTTACCCTTTCTTAATAGACTTTATGTGTTCATTCTTTTTTTTTATGTGTAATGGGAAAATATCTTGTATCTGCAGAGCGTGTCTGGTTCTAGCCATTTGCGCAGGTGGCTCGCGTTTATGTATCTATGCATCTAGGCCAGTTGCTCGCTCCTTAAACGGTCATTCGGCAGAAATGTTAAGAGCGCAAATTTATGGCCAAACTGACAAACAATTTTCCATGCAGCAGGCATATTGGTATATCTCTGCATCTTCGGTAGCCCCAAGTATTGTCAAATTAACAAAGCCTAATGAGCCACTGAAAACGTGTTCAAATGTACCTCTCACTGTGGGTGTAATTGCGTCTCTAATGAGCCATTGCTGTGACAATATTTACACTGAATTAATGTAGCCAAGTCAAGGTCTTCGTAGGGTTAACTATGCACAATTTATATTTAATAAAGTTAATAAAGTTAATGGGCCAAATCCGTGGTTTTATGGATTTGGGGCAAAAGCGTTACGGTTTTAATAGTAAATAAATTAGTGAGGAAACCAATCCATCAAAAACTTGAAAAATATTAAAATGACTTAAGAAATACTTGAACAAGGTTAGGGATTTATGGTGGAGCTTAAACTTTCTTGGTTTATGTTAATTTTAGTGAAGGGATTTCGCTGATTTTGCTTATTTTTGCTTTTACTATTTTATACAATGGATGAGAAATTTATCAAAAAAATCCCTTTATTGCGAAGTCCAGTAAAAAATTTATTTTAAAATTGTATGACTTATATAAATACATTTCTTCTGTCAATATTGGCATTAATTTAAAACTTAATGGAATCAAAAAGGATTTTTTAAAAATTAAAGTACCATTTAAAAATAATGTATCTCAAATGCAATTTTGAGCGCAGTTCGTTTTCAGCAACGGCAATGCGAAAATTATGAACAAGTTGCCATATCTAATAGATGTGGGTGGCTGCAGTCAACAACAAAATTAAATTAACTGACACGACAACCAAACTTGGCAAAATGTTGTTATGACTTCATTGAGCTGCATGCAATTTTTATTTAGCTTTTTTAATCCGCTTGTTTCCTGTAATTTTCCACTTAATGGTTTTTCCCCTAGACATATAAAAGATAAATGGGTATTTAAAAGTGAAATCGGAGAGTGTTCATTGCCACTTTTAACTTAGAAGTGGAATATTGATCAGCTTGCAAATGTCAAGTTTACAAAGCTAAAATCCGTTTATAGATTCTATATCCATTATGCGGGGGATCGTTCTCAATGGTTTTCCATTGAGCAGGGGGATATGCAAATATGCCAAATGACATCATACCCAAGTGGAACACAAATAAAAAATGAACTGTTTTGGAGAGATAAATGAAAACGCAGTCCAGCCAATTTTAGCATCGTGTATACATAGTATTATGATTGATGACCTAACGGATGATACTAATGGGACCCCCCAACTTGATATTGATTACCCCTTGAACAGATCACAACAGCGCAGTGCTGACAGCGAATACAGAGCAGTTCATCATTGGCCAGCGGGTTTGGCTTGGTGGCCTTCGTCCCGGACAGATTGCCTACATCGGCGAGACACACTTTGCACCCGGCGAATGGGCGGGCGTTGTCCTCGATGAACCTAATGGTAAGAAGGGATTTAGGATTACCTGACCTATAACGACGATTCTAATTCCTAATTCTACAAAGGTAAAAACGATGGCTGTGTGTCGGGCAAAAGATACTTCCAGTGCGAGCCGAAACGCGGCATTTTCTCACGCCTCACACGTCTTACCACATATCCAATGTCCGGAGCCCAGACACCGACTTCTCCACTGGCCAAAAACTCCCCGGACAGATCGCGCACAGTCTCGCCAACTGCGAGCATTCGCAGCTCTATGCTCCGCAGTCCCGGAATTGGTGGCAGTAAGTTTTCGATGTTTTCCTTAAGAGTTCAATAAATATTTCAAAATACTTATCTAGAAAACGGCATGGCTGTGGGCGATCGTGTGATTGTCTCCTCTGGATTTGGCAGTCGTCCGGGCATTTTACGCTATTTGGGAGAGACACAGTTCGCTCCTGGCAATTGGTGCGGCGTGGAATTGGATGAGCCTAGCGGCAAGAACGATGGAGCTGTGGATGATATAAGGTATGCCTTAGAAAATATAAGCAAAATCAAATAAAATTTAATGGTAAAATACAACATTATAATCTATTGTATTCTAAAACCATTTCCTTTGCAGATACTTCGAGTGCAAGCCCAAGTACGGGGTGTTTGTACCTATAGCGAAGGTTTCGCTATCGCCGTCGTCGAAGAAAACGCGACTCTCGAGGACCGGATCACGGGAATCCCTCACCTCGATCGGCACCATGAACAGCATCGCCACCACGGCCACGTCGCGCATGCGCATGAATGCTCAGGTATAAGCGGTGACCTCGAGAAGAGCACTCCTCACCATCCAGTTCTTCCACAGGAAGAATACCCACAGTCCCTAAAAACAAAACACAAATACCGTTTACAGTTCTGGTTCTGTTCTTTGTTAATTTTTAATTTTTACCCATTAATCTAATTGCTAATTTATTTTGAGCCCTGGTACTAACGCGTTCCAATTCTAATCGCAAAATCCTGTTCCGTTCCTAGCAGCGCAAGTCGATCACGCCCGTAAAGCCAATTTTAGCGACGCCGAAAAGCCAATTTTCCATGCAGGTATGCTAACATCTACAAGATCCACAAATAAATTGTATGGTATTCGCTGTTGGTTTTTCCTTTCGGTCTTATAAGCTCTATTAGCTTGCAGAGCTGTAGTCGCTGTTAGTAAACCCAAGCCATTAACGTTGAAATTATATTGGTTTTGTAAAAATATTTTTACTTATACCAACTTTATGGTTTGGTTTTCAAATATTTTGTAATCCTAGAATACTTTATTTTAAAGAAAGTTTACTGTTTTTGACGTTAATGGATTGGGAAATTCTTCCTGTAACTGTGGTTTAACTCTTAGATTGTAAGCGTACAACTAACATACGACACTAATCCACACAAAACAATACACAACAAACACACCCCACCAAAACAAACTATGTAAATTAATAATAAATGTATGCCTATGAAGTCTTTATGCATTTTATGCCATGTGTTTGAGTTGGTTTTTTATTTCACCTTGTATAATAAAAAATATTTAAATATTTCCTGCACGCTTTTGCTGTTTAAGTGTTGATTGTTCAATGTTTTGTTAAATTTGCCATTTTTATTTGCATGTGTGTGTTCGCTGTCGCCGGTAAAAGGTAAAGCCACAATAAAGTAATGAGTGTTTCTTGCTACCAGCTGCACCCTATATATATTCTTGTACATACACCCACACTATATATGTATATATATCGAATTCTGTATCTCTATATCCTCCTGTCTCCTTGTATTTTGTAATGCAATTGTGTGTTCCGGCATTTCATCAAAGCTTGCATTGTGCTCTCTGTGTTCTGTTTAATTTTTGGTCGATCGATCGATATTGTAGGATCTGCTGCGCGAGAAGCAACAGCATGTGGAGCAGCTGATGGTGGAACGCGACCTGGACCGCGAGGATGCCCAGAATCAGGCGCTGCAGCTGCAGAAGAACATCAACGAGGTAATTATCTTCACCGATACCATGTACGCACCGCTGCCCTATGCGGACAGATCGCGACCATATCGACCCGGCAAGAAGTCCAGGGTTAAGAGTCCACAGAGACAACATGTCTGGGTGCCCACCACCCTGAGCAGCAGCATCACCACCAGTACAAGACCAATCATAGCAGCAGCGGCAACATGCAACAGACAGCCCTTGCAGCAGCAGCAACAGCAACAGATATTGCAGGCACAGCAGCAACATCAGCGGCAGGCCAAGCCAAAGAAAGTTTGGTTTTGCGATAAAAAGAAACTCTTTCCAGTTGGCTGACGACACAACACACGGAGCCCAGTCAATGTTTGCTCAGTCATTTGTGCAGTTTCGGTTTCGATTAATTGTTTAATTTTATTTTTGCATTGCACCCGCGCCCTGGCTCTTGCAAAACAAACAAAAAACATACACAACCATTTTCCTTTTCGTTTGGTTAATTTTTCATTTATTTTTCACAGTTATGTCTTTATTGTTTTCCTCATTGTCTTGTGTTTATTTGTTGTTGATTTAACTCAAACTCACTTACCTTTTGACACGTTTTATTTTATGTTTTGTTCTTTAACCACAGTTTAGCCACAAGTCATCTTCAAATTGTCAGTCATTTTCCCAAAATGATTCATTTAATTAACTTTGAACGCTGAGGAGAGTACAAATTTCATAAGTTTAACTAGGCATGAAAGGTTTTGGGGGGTTCAACGGCATTTAACTCGGTCAAAATTCGGCTAACATGGGTTAAGGCTACTTTTGAAGTGTATGCAAACCAAATTGATTTAAAATCAACTTGCATATATTTAGCATATAATATTTACATAAATTTTGTGCTGGCACAAAATATTTATTTACTATTAACTTGCAACCGGAAAAAAATGAATGGGTTTAATTTATCTTTGCATCAAAACAATTTTCATTGAGTTCACCTCAGTTCAGACACACAAAACGTATTACTCTCCAACCATCATATACACTACCAAGAAATTACAGCAAGAAAAATGCAAAAACCACTATTATAAATAAACAAAATTATTTGCTTTAAATATTAGCACTTTTGCACTGTTGCTTACTCATACAGTGCGTTTTAAAAAAAATAAGGAAAGGCAAAAATGCTTTATTATAGTGTTGTTAACTAAAGCCTATAATTTTGAAACGCACTGTACACTTTATTTGCTTATTTCGCAACTGCTTTTGGGGGCTTTTCTAGAAAATGACTGTCTGGGATGATAGAGTTTTGTGCTTTCTGTTTGGTTTCGTTTCAATAAATTGTTTGTGTTTATAATTATATGGCGAATACGTGTTAGACTTTTCTATTTGTCGAGCGCACTTTGAGTTTGAGTGTTAAATTAGCAACAAAATTATCACCCAAAAGTCCCAATCCAAACCACACCAACTCCATTTCTCCTGCCTCTCTCATCCACTGAACTTTCCATCCTTTTAACGCAAAACCAAAAAATCAATTTGACAACCAATTTGAACCAAAATTATGCTGGCCTTAGAAAAGAAATTCTGTTTGCACAAAACTATTTTTGTATGATTCTTATAGCAAATACTGATCGAAGCGGATCGCTGGAGACGCCTGATAGCGAGACACAGCATAAAGGTATCCGATCTGCGACGCGAGTTCCGCGGCTGGTCGGGAAAACACGAGAGGCACTGCATCCTGCACAGTGTCCTTACACCGCTGCGCATCAAGTAGAAATCTGGGAGAGATGGATGGGCTACCACAGTGCTCAAAACTATTCGATTCGATGATTTTTGAATTAACTTTCTTCGCACCAAGAAAGGCACCACTGAAGACAATGTTGAAGTCTGCACAGCGTTTTAAGCTGATACAACCAAATAAATAATAAAAGATCTTTAAGATAATAAAAGGAGAAAACTAAAAAAAAATCGAAAGCCAACCGAAAAACCAAAACGAATAAAGTTAGTTAAAATGGTTTATTTGGCTTAAAAATGTAAAACGAAATTTTAAAGAAAAAAAATGGAAAATGGAAAAGTTGTCCAACAATTTTTGGTTATTTTGTACGAAAGCGAATTTTTCTTGCTGTTGGTTTAGACTATACGATACATACGATATACACCTAAAACTATCTATATGAAGTAAAATACATTAACAATGTGCAAAACATATTTTAAATCTCCAAATGTTGTTTTATTTGTGGTTATGACTTTTTGCTAATCCCGTTTTCGTATTTCTCTGATCATTCGATCTCCAGCTGAAGGCAAGAATTGTTGAATTGGAGTCGGCATTGGGAGATGAGCGAAAGAAGTCGGAAGAGTTGCAGTTCTCGGTAGACGAGGCACAGTTTTGTGGCGATGAAATGAATGTAAGAACAAGTAGAAAATTTATTTAGAAATGTACAGTGACTTGTTCTACTTGACTTTTGAGGTATTGTTATAGTTAACATGCAATGCTTGCATAACCTCTTTGTAAGAGCGCTCTAGATTTCATGTTTTTTAATTATTTGGAAGTATTAATAGTTGTAAAATATAAAGTTTGCCATCAAGAGTCAAATAAATCCTTTTTAAGAATTTTTTTTAGGTTTATTCCTTTGTTGTTTTCATAATATGGAAAATGTCTGTAGGTTGGGTTACTGTTTGCTTTCACTGGTTAGAAACTGTTGTTTACCTTTAAAATAGACCAATATTTGTATTTGTTTGAGGAAGACCATTTAAAAAAAAAAAAGTTTTTAAATTAGCACACTTTTAAAACTTAATAAAACTCACCCCAAAATTGATCAACAACTTTTAAAAACTATTTTTATGTTTGTCACAGAAATAGGTCAGCGCTGAATTTATGGGTTTTATATTTTTGTTCATATGAATTCAGTCCGCAAATCAATTTCTGTATTTCTGTTAATTTAATCAGTTTAAGTTAGTTTTATCTTAATTGTCGTCCTTTTCTAAAAACTTTTATGAGAAAGTCGACTTTCCCAATTTACAGGCCTCTTCCCATTAATCATTTAAAATATTTTTAACGCGACGAGTCTGTAGATCTGAAAGTATGCTATAGAAATCCTGGCTATTTACTTAGCTATTTACCCTTAGGAGAATATTTATGTCTGTAGAGACAGCTTATATGCAAATAAGACTCCCACGTTTTAGTTAGCCACCGAAAAACCAGGTGGATATTTTTTTAGATTCCTTACAAAAATTTTTTTTACATAAAATCAATTGAACGTATGGTAATTACATGTTCATTGCTATCTGCTTAAAGTTATTGAAGTTTAATTCCACTTATTTATTATTATTATAGAGGCTATGTATAATAAAAGCAGTATTTTAAATTTTAGTAGAATTCTGTTTTATTGTTAGTACTTTTTAAAGGAAATATGCCAAGAACATAGCAAGAAATGTAAAAATAAAACAAGTCAATGTACATTTCCAGACAATAAGAATATACTCTGCCTTTCTAATGCAAAATACCTATTCATAGGCCCAGTCCCAGGTCTACAAGGAAAAGATCCACGATCTGGAGTCAAAAATCACACAATTGGTTTCTGGTAAAAAATTAAATTAATTAAATAATGAGAAATATAACTTATATTCTCCTTTTGTACCCCCTCAGCTACGCCCAGTCTGCAAAGTATTCCACCACCGGCCCCGCCTCCAGATGATAGCGCTTTCAAGGAGGAGATTGCTAAACTGCAGGAGAAGTTGAACGTTCAGCAGAAGGAGACTGAATCTCGAATTGCCGAAACGCTCGAGGAGGAACAGCGATTGAGGGAAAATGTTAAGTACCTGGAAGAACAAAATGCCACTCTTCAGTCCGAATTGGTTGCAAAAGATGAGTCCCTTGAGAAGTTCTCCCTCTCGGAGTGTGGAATCGAAAATCTACGCAGGGAACTTGCACTGCTCAAGGAGGAAAACGAAAAGCAAGCTGAGGAGGCACAGACTGATTTCGCTCGAAAACTTTCTGAAAAATCCAGTCAGCTGGAAAAAGTCACCGCCGAATTGCAGAGCTTGAAAGCAGCCTCCGATTCTCTGGAAAGCGAAAGGGTTAACAAAACCGATGAATGCGAGATTCTTCAAACCGAAGTGCGAATTCGGGATGAGCAAATCAAGGAGCTAAGTCAACAACTCGATGAGCTAACCACCCAATTAAATGTACAAAAAGCGGATAGTTCGGCTCTGGATGATATGCTTCGAATGCAACAGGCGGGAAGTGAAGAAAAATCGACTCTCTTAGAGAAAACCGCTAAGGAGCTAAGTCAATTTAAAGAAGAGGCTTTGAAAAATCAACAGGAAAAAGAGCATCTTGAAAAGCAATTAACTGAATTAAAGCAATTAGCGGAACAAGAAAAACTAGTCAGGGAAAAGGCTGAAACTGAAATTAATGAAATAAAATTAGAGAAAGTAACCATAGAGCAGCAATTGGCTTCGAAGCATACTGAGCTTGAGGACTTCCAAAAGAAATTGTCTGAAACAGAGGCTCATCTTCAAGAAAACAAAGATCTAAGTACTCAAAAAGATCTTAAATTAGTTGAATCTGGGGACTCCCTTAAGCAATTGCAGCTTCAGTTAGATGAGAAAACCGAAGCCCAGGAAAAACTCTTGGCCGACGTGGAAGAACTGAAGAAAAATCAGGAGACGGCTCTAAGCCAGAAGGATCAGGAACTACAGCAGCTCCAAGCGAAGTCAGTTGAGTACGAAGAAGCTCTGAAATCCACTCAACAGCAATTGGAGCAACTTCAACAACAGTCAGCCGCATCTGGAGAAGAGGGATCCAAGAATTTGGCCAAATTGCAGGAAGAAATTAGTCAGCTTAAAGCCCACGCTGAGAAAACGGAGTCAGAATTAAAGTCTTGCCAAACGGATGTGGAAGCCAAGACAAAACAATTGGAGTCAGCTAATGGAAATCTGGAGAAGGAAGCCAAGAAGTTGGCCAATCTGCAGGAACAGATCACCAAACTTAAATCCGATGTGGAGGAGACCCAGGCAGCTCTCACCTCAAGTCATACGGATGTGGAATCCAAAACTAAGCAGCTTGAGGCCGCCAATGCGGCTCTGGAAAAAGTCAATAAGGTAAGTTTATCTACTTAAAACAAAGAATGCAAAAGCTTTTAATATTTAATAACCTTTTTTAATATAGGACTATGCTGAATCCCGAGCGGAAGCTTCCCATCTGCAAGATCAGGTGAAGGAGATCACCGATACCCTACATGCTGAGCTCCTGGCTGAACGCTCCTCCTCCAGCGACCTTCATACCAAACTCTCCAAGTTTTCGGATGAATTAGCCACGGGACAAAAGGAACTGACCAGCAAAGCCGATGCCTGGAGCCAGGAGATGCTGCAGAAGGAGAAGGAACTGCAAGAGCTACGACAGCAGCTTCAAGATAGCCAAGACTCCCAAACAAAGCTGAAAGCGGAGGGAGAAAGGAAAGAGAAATCTTTGGAGGAATCTATTAAGAAAATGCAGGAAGAAATCAACAAGGCCAAGGCGGAAAATCAAGAGCTAAGCACTGGCACGCAGGAGACCATAAAGGACCTTCAGGAGCGTCTGGAAATCACTAATGCCGAGATCCAACACAAGGAAAAAATGGCCACCGAAGATGCCCAGAAAATAGCTGATCTTAAAACTCTTGTCGAGGCCATCCAGGTTGCTAATGCCAACATATCAGCAACCAATGCAGAACTTTCCACCGTCTTGGAAGTCCTTCAAGCTGAAAAGAGCGAAACGAATCACATATTCGAGCTTTTCGAAATGGAGGCAGATATGAATTCAGAGCGGTTAATTGAAAAACTTACTGGCATGAAGGAGGAGCTGAAGGAAACCCATCTTCAACTGGATGAGCAGCAACAGAAGTTGAAGGACCTGGAGTTGAAGTTGGATCAATCGCAGCAGAGTGAACAGAATCTGCAGCAGGAGTCCTTGCTTTCCAAGGAACAACTAAAGGAACTACAGCAGTCAGTCTCAGAACTTCAAGATTCTCTTAAACAAAAAGAAGAACTTGTTCTAAGTCTAGAAGGCCAGCTTAAGCAAACCAGTAGCATTATAGAAGGTCAAAAGACTTCCTCCCAGGAAGTACAACTAAAGCTAGAAGAAGCTCAAAAGAATGAAAAGGATTTGCAAGAAGAAGGTGCCAAATTAGTTGAGCAACTACAGGATCTGCAAAAGACCCAGTCGGAACTCTCCGAGTCCCTCAAGAAAAAAGATGAACTTGTACAGAATTTAGAGGATAAACTCAAAGAAAGCAATACTCACTTAGAAACCCAAAATTGTTCGACCAAGGAAACCCAAGTTAAACTAGAGGAGGCGCTAGAAAGAGAGAAAGTCTTGCAGGAAGGGGCTGCTAAATTATCCGGTGAACTGCAGCAAGTGCAACAGGCCAATGGAGAAGTAAAGGATTCTCTGGTAAAAGTAGAAGGACTCGTGAAGGTTTTCGAGGAAAAACTGCAAGCAGCTAACTCCCAGTTGGAAGCCCAACAGGCCACAAACAAAGAACTGCAGGAGTTGCTGGTAAAATCACAGGAGAACGAGGGTAGCCTACAAGGAGAATCTCTGGCCATCACCGAGAAACTACGCCAACTGGAACAGGCCAATGGGGATCTTCAGGAGTCATTGTCCAAAAAAGAAAAAAGCCTTAAAGACCTGCAAGACAAATTACAAGAAAGTAATTCTCTATTGGAAGTTCAAAACAGAAGCCACAACGAACTCCAGGATAAGTTGGAAAAAACCCAGCAAAAGGAAAGGAAGCTACAAGAAGAAACCTCCCAGTTAGCTGAGCAACTGAGCCAACTAAAGCAGGCCAATGAGGAGCTCAAAAAATCCCTCCAGCAAAAGCAATCACTTTTGGAAAAAGGCAACGAATTCGACACTCAGCTGGCGGAGTATCAGAAAGTCATCGACGAAATGGATGATTCGGCCTCCGTTAAGTCCAAGCTGCTGGAACAGCTACAAAATAGAGTTGCGGAACTGGAGGCCGCTCTCCATCAAGCCAACGAAGCCCAAAAGACTGCTAATCAGGAGACCAAGGAACTGAGGCGCCAGCTGGAATCGCTGGAATTGGAGAAGTCCAGGGAGATTTTGACCCTCAAGTCTCAGATGAATGGAGCAGGGAGCCGGTCAGGAAAGGGTGATGAACTGGAGGTGGGTTTTCTTTTATTAATTAGTATATATTTGTTTAATAAATATTTTTTATTTTTTATAGTCGCTTGACACCGAGACAAGTCTTGCCAAGATCAACTTCCTTAACTCAATTATTGCCGACATGCAGCAGAAGAATGATGCACTTAAGGCTAAAGTCCAGACCCTCGAAACCTTGCCAATGGATTTCACCAAGTGAGTTTTCTCCCTTATTCCCTATCTAAAAAATGGACCTAATTGAATTTTAATTTAATTTAATTATATTCTATGTTTTTTTATACTTAAAGACCCCATGCCTTCGATGTGCTGACCAAGCGGAAACCGGCGCCCAGACTTTTCTGCGACATCTGCGATGAGTTTGATCAGCACGAGACGGAAGACTGTCCCATCCAGGCTAGTGAGGATCGGGACTACTCCCCGCCGCCATCCGAGGCCAATAACAACGAGAAGGAACGCAAGCTACCTGCACCCAGGAAATACTGCGATTCCTGCGAGGGTAAGTACAAATATTCAGGATACTATTTGAATAATATCTAAAAGTAAAACATTCTCTACCATTTCAGTCTTTGGCCACGATACGAGCGAATGTGCCGACGATGAAACCTTTTAGCTCTAGTTAAATTCTAAATTATTTTTCAATTTTACTTTGTTTGATTCTATAGCATAATCGAATTGCGAGATCTATCAGAGGAGATAACTTTTACCTCAGCAGAGAGCTTCACTCAATCACACAAACTACATTCTCTATTTAAAATTGTGATCTTGCGTTATGCACACATTCATGGATAATAGTCTATTTTAAATTGTTTTTATTTATTTAATGCGATTCGTGGCAAACACAATCGGTTGTTTTCGTAATTTTTTTTTGATTGTAAACATAGTGTAAAAAATAAAAACTAGAATGTGGAAGAAGACCGTCGCTAATTTATTGGGTTTTTATAAGTGGTACAAATAAAATTAATCGCCGCCCTCCTTCTTCTCCTTGATGGCATCCTGAAAATAAAGATATATCGAATTTACAAAACCTAATTTACAAACGTAAAATAAACGGGTGTCTTACTTTGAAACGCTCTTCGAAGAGAGATAATTCCGCTAGAAGATCGGTTATGGCATTCATGAAGGCCTCTTGTGGGGAATAGTCCGCCGTAGTCTGAATCCGAATAACGAACTTGTGCTCTAGAGGATGAGGAACTTTGTAGCCGGCAAACAAGACATTGGGGTCCTTCAGCAATTGGCTGTACAGAAAAATCCAGGTTAATTTTAAAGTTATTGCCATTAATTAACCGTCTTACTTGCGGATCATGTTTCCCAGAGTGTGATCCTCCTTATTTATCGTGAATATAGCCGCATTTGTCACTTTTGTGTCCAGTTCTTTGATGATTCTGCCACCGCGCCAAAACAAACACGGAAATAAGTTACAGGTGGTTATTTGGGGAAGTTTATTTCGTTTACTCACTTTTTCTCGCCTTCATAGAGCAGGAATGACTCAAAGGTGGGTGGCGCATTCATTTTTCAGGCTTATATTGGGTAAATTACAGTCAAAATCTAAATTGTTTATTAAAATCAGCACCACGCTCAGAAAATTCGCTTGTCTAGTGTTGAAAAACGCGTTAAAGCTAGATAGAGGTGCTAGATCAGCTATGTTTACAAACATAGCTAAAACAAGCCATATAAAGGAATAGGTTGGTTACAGTGAAACCCCTGTATGATTAATATTTTGAAAGGAAGTACTAAAATTAAAAGTACAGAAAATTCTTAAAAGAAGATTTTTGTAAATTACATCAAGGTTTTCATAGGCCAGTAAAAAAAAACCTTCTTTTCTACACCATATACAATTTTATTTTTTAAATGTTCAAAGCTTATTAAAAATTACTAAATTAGTTTGTATAATTTAGTTCCATACATTTCCTTGCCGTTTTAATATCTAGCTATTTTTTTAAAGCCATCCGCTAATGTTGGTCATCTGTGCATGCGATAGCTATCGCATAGGCAGACTGTTCTTGCTCATCTCTAAATTTCGGTGGTTGAATTATTTGCAATTTTCATCCAATCGCGCCAAACGCTGCGCATTCCGCCACTTTCGAGAAACTGACACGAAGCGAAGCCACATTTTTGCTGTAAAACTACTGAAATGAGCGACTTGAAGGCCACAGCTGGTGTCCCCGAGGGCGAGGAGGCCAATCCGCTGGAGCAATCGACCATAACGATGCTGGATGTCCTCGAGCAGGAAAAGGAGCTGGAGGACGAGTACGCAGCTGTGCTGGGAGCCTCCGACGAGAAGTCCTGCACGTATGTGAAGGGCGCCATTGGACGCCAGGCCCTCTACTCCTGCCTCACCTGCTGCCCCGAGGCCCGCGAGGATCTGGCCAAGGCCGCAGGAGTCTGCCTGGCCTGCTCCTACCGCTGCCACGAGCACCACGAACTGGTTGAGCTCTATACCAAGCGGAACTTCCGCTGCGACTGCCCCACCCAGCGGCTGGGCAAGTGCTCGCTGAATCCACAGGTCGAGGGCGTTCAACCCCGGAACGACGGCAACCTGTACAACCAGAACTTCCAGGGGCTCTACTGCAAGTGCAAGCGACCCTATCCCGATCCCGATCGCACTCTCGAGGAGGTGATGCTGCAGTGCGCCATCTGCGAGGACTGGTACCACTTGCCGCACATGAAGGCGCCCGGTTCCAGCGAGAAGTGGCTGGATGCCTGCAGCGAAATGATCTGCGACGGCTGCATGGAGGCCAAACCCTTCCTGAGGGACTACACTGGACTGGCTCTGCAGCCCGTGGTGGAGGATTCCAAGGAGGCAAAGCCGGAGGCTGAGGATTCCAAGGAGGACAGGCCCGAGGCTGAGGATAGCCAGCTGAAGAACGAGTTGGACCGCAGCATCTGCGACATCATGAAAGTTGCTGAAGGCGAATCTCAAGCGGAAGAGGGCGAGCCCAGCCAGAAGCGTCGCAAGCTGGAGGACTGCCGTCGTCCCAAAACAACCAAGGAACACCAGGGTGAGAAAATTAAAGCAATATTATAAAATTTATAGAGGCAGTACGGTATAGAACAGATGTCTTTAGGGGGTTTCTTTAACTTAAAAAGCCTTAAAGTTAAAGAATTTCGAAACAAAAGATTAAAGGCATCTAAAATATCAAGTTTATTTGAGTCAAAAATTCACTATTATTTGTTTAATCAACATAATGTATGTATTTTTTTACCAGTTAATTCATTTTTCTAACTTTGGACAACTAAGAAAATCCCAGGATTATATGCTTCAAGAAACAACTGAAATTATTATTCAAAACTAAACTTAATACATGAAAAGCAAGTCGAAATTCTTCTTGCCATCGCCCAAGTAGAGGAAACCATGTTTATGCGAGTTTATCTTGTGAAAGAAGGTCATTCCCAACCAGAGGCACGACTTGATCACCACCAAACCCTCGTTTCGTTGCATATTCAAGGCAAAGGATTGACCCAGCGGTATTACGCAGTCGATGGTGTCCAGGAAGTCAATAGCATAGTTATAATCACTCCTTTTGGCCAAATTAGCTTTTAGATCATTTCGGGGAAGACGATATAGCTGATAATAGGATTGGTTGTCGATCTGCAGGTCATTCAGGCCCCGGAACATCTGATTGGGTATAACACGGCCATCGGTCATCTTGTAGAAGGCTCCGCGGGGACAAATGGCGCACTCCTCGGTAATAATAAACACAATGGCTGCCAGTCTTTCCTCCTCCTTCAGTTTGACTACTTCAGGGCGACTGATGCCAGCCACTTGATTGCCCACAATGTCAAAAGTTGGGTCCTGTGGGCAGTGAATACTGAAAGTTTTAAGTGAAACTTAAAAATATCCCACCAACAACTTACCAACTTTACGTAGGACATCAGGCTGGGATCTCCTATAAATGGCTCCCTTGCCAGTATGGTGGCCTGAAAGATTTTTGGGCTCTGGACAAACGGCAATAACTGCCACTGGAACTGGTCGAGACTGTAGAAATACTTGCGATCCTTCAGGCAATCGTTTGTGTAGCCAAAGGCAATGTAGTAATCGTTCTTGGTCGCCGTTATGCGACCCCACAGATACATGCCTGAGAAGCGGTTATCATTCTGCAAAGCAATTAGCGAGTTCTCAATCAAAATGCGCTGTTCCGGCGAAAGCTTCATGCCGCAGTACATTAGGCAGTCGAGGCCCTCGGTAAAGTACTCTAGATTCATGATGGATCTTGGCAATTTATATGTATTGTGTTTTTAATAACAAGGGGTTTTTAGTGCTAGAAATATTTGAAAGAAATCTCCAAACTAAATGGAAAATACACTCATAAAAATTAATTTCTATATTTTAGAAATCTCGACGTTAAAAATTTCTTGTATTTAGAAAATTTGCCTTTGAATATAGAAAACCTTTCTAGGTGAAGAAAATTCAAGAAAGAATTTTATAGTTTTTAAGGAGATTTTTCGATTTTTTTTTTTGTGAGTGTGCGAACGGATCTACACACTTACACACTACACACTTTTGCAACTCCCACCTTCAACCCATATTTAACTATTTATCGCCTTCCTCTTTCAAGGAGCCGCTTTCTGGACTAATGACTGGCGCAAATCGCTTTGCCAGTGCCCCGAATGCCTGTCTCTCTATAAAGAACACGGCGTGGAGTTCCTGCTGGACGCCGAGGACTCGGCAAAGACGTACGAGGAGCGCGGCATGAAGCGGGCAGAGGAGAATTCCAGCTATGAGCAAGGCATTCGGGCACTGGCCTCCATTGACCGGACACAGCAAATCGATGCGATTACCGAGTACAATCGCATGAAGGACAAGCTGAAGGAATACCTGCAGGCATTCGCCGCCAGCAAGAAGGTGGTCACTGAGGAGGACATCAATCGGTTCTTTGCCGGCATGCGCAATGAGAATAATGCCAACTTGGGTCAGCCCTATTTCTGTCGCTAAATAATAAGCTCTCTAAATTATTATACCGTAGGTCCTAAATCATTATAGTATTACCCACATTCCCCCATGAAAAGAGCACACACACATACAGCATGTAAATTCTTAAGTTATCATTTATTACAAAAAATTATAATTTTTAATTCACATTTTTTCAATAACGAAAAGTCATAACAAGGCATCGGGCAATGAGATTCGCATTTCCCTCCATATGCTATTTAGCCGAAATATTTATGTACAATGCGGTAAAATAGAAGTTATTTTGAAATGGTAACCTATCTTGAGAACATTTTACAAAAGCTCTAATTGGTTAATTTCTGGTATATTTTATGAATATATGTACATTAATAATTAGCAAAGTTGTTGTTCATTTGAAGAGGTGAAATTCCCACTCTATTGAGTTCCTCCTCAATGCCCTGGATGAGTTCATTGGTGTCAATGGGCGCCATTCCTATGCTGCCAGAGATTAGATCACTGAACGATTGGATGGGCAAGTCTGCCTGTGGCTCCTCCTGCTGCGGATTCTGCTGTTGCTGCGGGTATTGAGACTGTTCTGGCTGGGATTGGGGAAAATATTGAAGCGGCTCCGGCTGCGATTGAGGCTGAACCTGCTGACTCTGCGGTAAGCTTATGGCACTCAATTTCTGACTCAAGAAATCGTTCATTAAGTTATTATTGTTGTTGTTGTTATTGTTAATTGGAATCATGGAGCCGCCACTGAAATGCGTTGGACTGCAGCCATTGATTGGTAAGTTTGATATGTCTGGCAGATATGGAGTATTATTGTTCTGCCCCATTTGCATCGGCGGAATGCTGTCCACTGTACTGCAGTTGGACCGAGGCGATGCGAAATTAAATGAGAAGCTTGAAGTCTCTGGCAGATACAGGTGATTAGGGTTCTGCCCGAATTGCATCGGCGGAATGCTGTCCACTGTACTGCAGTTGGAGCGAGGAGAGGCGAAATTGTGCTCCACTGATGGACACTGGCTACTCCGGCTATCCATATCCATAAATCCGTTCTCGAGCTTGATATCGTGCACAAAATTTGGACTTCCAGCTGGATACATCATTGTAGTCGTAATTTGTGGAGCTGCAGGCGCCGCATAGTTGCCTAAAAAAATTAATAGAACAGTGTTAGACCTTTGTTTCCAGTATCAACGAATACATCGTTTAATGAACGCAACAGTAAAAAGCATGCACATAATTGAGGCGAAACTGAGGTGAAACTAAGGCGATTTGCGAAAACTCAAAAAGGACAACAGCAAACCACAACATCAACTTTGTCTGCGGGCAGGCAATATCAACTTACATTATTTGATGTCCAACTTTGGTGGCAAAAAAGGAGCTTCGTGAATACTAGACAAAAAATGGGAAGGAAAGACACAACCTCGGTGGCCCGAAGAGTTAAATACCCTTGCCGAATTTTAATTAAAACCTTCGCATTATTTATTTTAAACTCTTTAATAAATATACAAAGTAAAAGATAAAAAAATAAAATAAATATACTGGGAAAAATATTGTTTGCGGACAATTATTATTTTTTTTTAGTTGGCAAGGGCATCAGATCTAATTTTCAAAAAATTACATTTAAATCCAACGACTTTTATCAAAAACTTTTATTCATCAAAATTCAATACATTTAGAGTGGGTAGAACAATTATATTCAATTCGAACGGCCTATATAAATCAATATTCATAGACTATAGTTTAACATTTTCCAACAATTCTGGGTCGGACAACGACTTCATCCATTGGTCCACAAGGTATTAAGTCCTGTACTATATATATGGTGAATTTTCACCAACAATTTTTTCTACAATTTTCTCTGACAATCAAGAAATGAGTTTGTATGCAATAATGTGAAAAATGTGTTGTTCTAGGAACTACAAGATGTGATGCTTATATAAAGAAACCCAGTCCCAGCACCAGTAATAAATGCGAAATATTCTCGAGAACTTACTGGACGTTTTAACCTGCTTGGATGGATAAAAATCGGCGCTCATGAGACTGCGCTTCAGGCTTTCAATCGTTTTTGTGTTCACCCGACGATTGTGCTGGGTTAGGAGTTCTACAAAGATATTCGGATGTTTGGTCGATTAGAACAGAATGTGTAATTGAATTCGGTGAGATTTCTTAACTAGAAAATTGTGTAAACATTATGATATATTTGTTATTAATACTGAAAGAGAAGACGACTAGAAACGATATTTTAGCAGGTGCAATTGTGTTCTGTTGATTTGGACTAACTAATGCCAAGGTTTCGGTTAACTGATTTAATCAATCGTCTTTCTTTTGAATAAAAAAAATATTTATTTTTTTGTTTCCTCCTTCGGCATCAAATCAGTTATCCGCAACCTCTCATCACCCCCATCACACTACTCCAATCCATTTGCCTCCGCCAGCCGTCGAGCTATTTCATCCGCACTGAGAAAATCCGTAGTTGCCACTTGACCATCTGCCGAACCACCTGCTGCTCCACCTTCTCCAAACTCTCCGCCAAACGGAGGCTCCGGACTCTTGGTTGTGTACAGGGCAAAGTGCTCCGCCTCGGAGAGATCCACACTGGGATCCAAGACCACACCGTAGGCTCCCTCGCACAGATTCTTGATGCTCTGCCTGTCGGCAATGGCTATCAACTCCATGTTGCCATCACTGATGGGAATATCCGCCAGTTGCAGAGTGCTCAGGGTCTTCCTGTCCAGCGGCCGTCCGTAACTGAGGGTGCTGGCATTCGAGTAGCTCTCCGGGCGAAGCAAACTGTTCTCGCTATCGCCTCCCTTCAGTGGTATGTGGATCACATCCGCGTCCAGGTGGGCGGGTCTCTTTCCCGACACACTACTGGAACTTCGACCAACTGGCTTGCCATTTCTGCCCTCGCTTTTTCCCAGTGGCTGCATGGACCGTGTGGAGCTGCGATTGGGATCCCCCAGAGAAAAGTGCGCCACGCTGGGCTCCCTACTGCCGGTGGGTGTGGTGGCCTTGGATCCACCAGCTAATTGTTTATTGGGACTGCCACCGGGTGTCTGGGATTCCTCGTCATCCGCCCTACTCCTGCGGCGCGAGAAGAATCTCGAAAAGAATCCCTGACGCTTCTTCGGGGAAGCACTTGGGGTGGGTTGCCTTTTGGTGGGACTTTGATCGGGGGTTCGCATTATGATGATGGGCGAGGGTGTGGTTCTATTCGAGCTCAGGCTGCCATTTCTCGAGCGGCTGACAGAGATCGAATCACTGACGATGCTCAGATCCTGGGAGTTTCTCTGCGGTTTCGGTGGCAAGGGAGGTAGTCTTTGGTCCGAAACGGGTGAAGGAGTTCGGGGTGGCAGCGGCAGGGGCGGTGAGCCAGGAGGCGTGGCTGGGGTCTGAGCAGCATTCACTCGTATCTTGGGAGCTGGGGGATTTGTCAGTACCACCAGCTCGGCTTCATCTAGCTGGCCAAACGGATTGGTGGGTGGATAGATCTGTATTCCCTGCTTGCTCTCCTTGGGCACCCCTATATCTATGGGATTATTAAAGGCTATCTGCAGACTCGTATAGGTGGCTGTCTCATCGAAGTTCTCATCCAAGTCCACAGAGGCTTGAGCACTGGCTGAAACCATTTCCGGTTCTTTTTCGTTTTCCGGCAGCTCCTTAACGGCCGGATTCTCGAGGGTATCCCTGCGAGAACCATTGGCCAGAAGACCGTGGGCCTCCTCCTCCAACTGGTTCGTTATGGTCGTATTGGCGGTCAAACTGCTGACATTGGTAAAGGCTGTTTGGGCCGTGCTATTCGAAAGGGATTGGGTGTCCCCGTTTTCCACCGTCAGGCTATCCGTTCTCTCGAACTCGCTGCTCTTCATCCACTCGGTGATTTTGTCCACATTTGTGAGGGGTCGAGGTTGCAGCTGGGGATGCTGCAGGATCTCCTCCATGGGCGTGGATGTCTGGGTGCAGTCGTCCGCCAGTTGGGGCAACAGTTGCGGCACCTCCAGCTCAATTTCCATATCCGGCTCGTTATCGTTATCCGTGTACTCGGTAACCGTGCCCCCATCCATCTCGTGTGATTCACCCCGTTGACGCATTTGCAGCTTCTTGACCGCTATCTCGAACTCGTTCAGAGTTCCCGAACTCTGCTGATCGTCGGATGAAACCGTATTGTTATCCTCCTCCAGTTCCATTGGCGGGCACGAGTATTTCGTGGCCGTGGTTTCGCTGTCGAGGGAAAGAATCTGCTGGAACACGTCCAGCTCCTGACGGCGCTTCAGCTTTCGCTGCAGCCGGGCAAAGGTTACCGTACCTGGATTTGGGTAGTACTCGAACTGCAGCGGGGCACTCGTCGCTCCATCCGAGGGTCGCACCAGCTTCAGCTCCACCTGGATGGGAAAATATTATTATTATCTATATTTTGAAAAATTATTTAATTCCAGTCAAGCGATAAAAATGTTTTAAATAAATTAAAGGTAAATTGGATATAATTAATTTATTAGGGATTTAATACGAGTTCTTTGTTATTTTAATTAAAGAAATATATTTTATGTCAATGTCAGTTTTAATTTAAATTTTATTATATAATTTATTTTTGAACCTTATAAAATTCACTAAATACCACAAAGAAACGCCTCACTTACAGTTTGCCAGAAAAAGAAATTGTAATTTAATGAATTATACAAAAAAAGAAAAAAATGTTTTATGTGCTATTATTTTTAATTACTGATTCACATGCATTTTTTATCAAGTTTTATCTACACAAAAAATAAAGTACAAAAGCTATAGTAATTATTACAATTTCAATTTCGGCTATCCAGTTTACTCGTAATATTAAAGAAATACAATGCAACTCACATTGACACTTTGCGTGATCTCAGTGTTCTTGTAGCGAGGCGTCTTAAAGGCGATGGCCATCTGCTTGAAAACGTCAGTGGGCTGGAACTCGGCGTTTGCGAACCACGTCTCCCGTCCGTCCCTGTCCGTCTCGTAGAATCGCACCTCTATGTCGTCCTTGGCGATCTTTTCGCACAGCATGATGATCTCGCTGCCGCCGGTGACTTGGGCCGAGCAGCTGCACAGCCGGGTGATGGTCAGCTCGTTGCTCTTGCCGTAAATCGGGGAGGAAACGATGGGCTCCAGGGGCACCTTGGAGTTACCCACAGTGATGAAAGCCTGGTAGCAGAGGCGCAACTCATACCTATTGATCTTGTCAATCTGGTCTTTGTGATCGAATTTGGCTGGAAAAAAGGAAAATAAAGGGATTAGTTACGGAGTTGGAAAAACAAAAAAAAAGAGTAACTTAGCAAATTATCAAAAATAAATAAGAATTTTGCATTCTTGGTCTTTTGAGGCGATATGTACTTCAAGAGGTAGTGAAGTAGGCTTTGAATTTGTCTTTATGTGGAGCGAAGACTTTAAATACTTATGCACAGTAAACAAATTGACAAAAGATCAGACTTATATGTGCAGGTCACTTTTATATTTTTTAAAGATTAAGTCATTTATATTATTTTGATATGTATAAAGACTATGTTTAACTTATTTTAGTTTAATTTTTCAAAAAATACTACATTTGGAATTTTAAAATAGTATTTTTAAAATTTGTATGAAAAACGATATGATAAAATATAATGTTCATATAATTGAATCATAAATTTAAAATTAACCATATCGGCTTTTCATTGATGTGAAATAAGGTAGAAATTACACTATATTATATGGACTTTTAAAAAAATTATTTTTTTCTTTTTAGCCTCCAGTTTTTGTAGGCCTAACTGGTAAAGCTATATTAGCTGATTAATTTTTTCTAAATTCTGACTCACCGTTAAACGGATCGACATTCTTTCTCTCTCTTTCCACCAGCGAGTCGCGCATCTCCAGCTTCTTGGCGCACTGAATGCCCACTTTCTGGAGCACCAGTCGTCGCTCCTCTGGCGGCAACCGTTTCTGGTATATGCCCGACTTGCAGGCATCGGCCTCCTCCTTGCTGACCAGCCAGTGGGGGTGCTGGCGAAAGGGCTCGTCACTGGTCACACAGGACACCACAATGACGACGGGACCGTCGTAGTTGCAAACCTCGATGGTGGGAAAGGTCTTGCCCGTTTCCGAACTGGAGTTCATTCCCGGAATGGAGCCGGCCGTGCGACCCTCGCACTTGTAGCGAAATCGGATTATGTGGTTCGTCGGCTCCTCCACGATACGCAGGTAGGGTCCACTCCTAGCACTTGGCTTGGGCAGATTCTGATTCATATTCTGACTCTGGTTCTGCAGGTGGAGCGGCAAGTGCGAGGGCATTACCGGCAAGGAAGTCGACTGCGATAATATGTGCTGTGCAGCACCTCCTCCTCCAGCTCCTCCCACTCTGCCTTCTCCGGTGGCGCCGCCGTTCAACTCCATGCTGGCATTGATAATTTCCTCTGGGGAAGGTAAGTATTATACGAAAATCAATAAGTCAGAGTGCCAGAAACAATTTAGCTTAGGTTAAGGAAGGGAACTAGAAAGGGTAGCACAAAATACCCTCCAAGATTAAATGGAGTGCCCGTGCGTACTCATTTCCTCTGACAGATAGAAAAATTAAACATGTATGGAAAATATATTAGGAAAGAGCACATTATTTATATTTCTAAAATGTTTGTTTTAGTTAAAAGTAGTATTAGCAAACGAAAAAAATTTTGATAAAATAACAGGAATAGCCTTAAGATAAATGAGCAATGATTTACAACTGTTCGATCATCCATCGAATATTTCATTATTTACCCAGCTATATGAAAATGGAAAAGTGCGTGTGCGTGGATAATTTTGAATCCATCAGATAGGCATATGCATATGTGGAAGTCATTAGGTTGCCATTGTTTTTTGCGAAAGGGTGAAGGCTGGAAGGCTTCCTCCTTCAATTCCGTTTGAACTTTGTTATTGCCAGATGTCGACTATGCGATGACGAGTTCTGACGTCAAAAGTTGCGCAGCAACTTGCCAGACTTATTATGCCACTTTGTTCCGGTATATTTGTTGTTGCTGCTGGCGTTTGGTTCAGATGGCAACAGCAACACCAACGTCTATGGCCGGGCCAAGAGCAATAACAATGTTCAATTAGCCACTAAAAATTCCCCCACAAATCTGATGCTTTCTGGCTGGCCTAATTAAGCGCATTGTCGATTGACTTATGGCCACAGATTATTCATTAACCAGAGCTCTATCTCTTTTTTCGCCGAGGCATGGGATTACGGGGGTTCTATGGGGCTATGTTAATATTAATTGGGGTTAGTATGTGCCATAAATTGATGGCTTTTTATACATACGTAAATCGCCAAAAGCCTCCTCCTCAAACATTGGGATTACACTGTTGATTGCCTGGAAATTTAAGCAATGATAGATTGTCATTAACTTTTCGCATATAGGTAGCTAATGTATACAATGATAGATTATTTGTTTTTGGCTTACACCCAGCCTTTTCCCTTGTCTTTTCAATTTTATTTGATGGATTTTTACAACTTCATGTATTCAATCATCCATGGTTTTTAATATGCAGTATTAGAATGCAAATTGTTTTATATACTTTCAAAATGGATTACAATCCCTGAACAATATGCCATCCTGTAATTTTTACAGCCACATTAACGAGAAATTTATTATTCGCTTAAAAATAGAACACGTTTATGAAAATCGCTAAAAAAAAAAACGCCTTAGTGTGCTTTCAGTTATCTTTTTAATCATTCGAATTAATTCCAATTCGATGAAATGGGAAAAATACAGTAGTGACGCTGCCTATCAAGATTAAGTCACTAATCTTAGTTCCGTTCATTCCACTTGTACTAATAAGTACTTGTAGTTTATTGAGGTTGGTAAACTCCCAAATATTTCGCAAGAACCCAAAGTACAGTGGGATATTCGAAGCCAAATCATGATCTGATTTATAAAGTAGAAAAACCCATTTCCATCGGCCGAGCTACATTTATTATCATTGTGATTTTTTTTTTCCCAAAATGTAGCTGATAAGAAAATCTTTTGCGGTTTGGTGATAATCTATAAAAGGTGTTTGTGGGGAATCTCTCTGTATGACTTGAATGCCGGTTGGTGATAGGGTTATCAATAAGTCTACCAGTCTCATTCTAGGAAAATGAAATGAACCAAATAGGCGCTAGGTATAAATATGTTCCGATTTTCAGTTTAGCCAATTTTAAACAGGCGTAAAATCGATTTTTAAATTAATACTTTAGCTTCGTTTATAAATAAGCACATTATATAGTTTTAATAGTGCTAGATTTCTTATTTTTCCTCTTTTTTTCCAACTGCTTATGCTTATTTTAACAACTTCTGTAAATATGAATATAGCCCTTGTAAGCTCAGATTCCTTGGCTAGCACACGTCCGTTATTTCTCTGCGTTTTCCTTATAATGAAGGCAAACATATGGCTTTGCTCCTAACGATTTCCTTTGCCTCAGACTTCGTCCTTCCCATGTTATATAAGTGTGTATTCAAATACCGACTACTGGCGCATCGATCAAGGTTATCATTGTTAGTCGCTTGTAGGACATAATAACAATGTCGGTGTAATGTGGATTTAATAGTCGAAGCCATAAAAAGGCCAAACAAGTCACTCCCCAAGACACGTATCCCAATTTCACTCTCTTTTCCGCAGCTGCAGTCAACATATGCCGAAAGTATTTTGCATTTTCTGCACATAACTCAACTTTTCAACAAAAGAAGAGCACACACACTCTCGAGCACTGAGAGATAAAATCTAGCAAGAAGTCAACGCCTCAGACAGCCTATTTGTCTAAATGCCAAACGTTGGCGTCAAGCTCACACAAACGAAAGCACTACACAGAAAAGAATATTTTTGTGAAAACAAATAAAAATTCAAAAAATATTATTTAAAGTTATGGTAAAATGGTTAAACATTTAATAAGTGTAGTATTTTGAAAACATATTTCTATCTGATAATATCATTTCTTTAAGTTCAAGTTAGTTAAAAAAAATTGTATTGTATTGTATGTAAATTGATTAAAAAAGATAATTGTTTGTATTTAATATACGTTTTTAAAATATTTTTTGAAAGTATTATTTTTATGGATATTAAACATTGTTTTTAAATTTTTTGTTTCTGTGCTGACACCAATACAATATCTTACACAAAGACATTTACACACACGTGGGGGTTTGAAAAATTTGCATATGTTAATTTTGTTTACATTTATAGCCTTGCAAAAACAATTTGTCCGCCACTGGATTGTCTGTTGTTGTTGCTGTCATTGTGTTTTTTGTTTTGGTTCTTTTGCAATTCACACCACTCGCTTACACTCACACTTTCTTAGTGAAGACGATCCTACGGTTTTGTTTACGAACCGCATGACGCTTTATTGGTCCACCTCTCCATCCCCTCAAAACACACTTTTACACCCCCCAACGACCACCCCCCTTCACGTGTGTCGAACTTCTGAGCTGCAAATGTGGGTCGATGTGCTGGCAGCAGTGGCCAACGAAATAAAGTTGTATAAAAGAATATATTAAATAAAATATATCTACCTCTCTATCATAATCATTATAATTATAAAACGATGTACTCTTTTAAAGTATAAGCACTAAATAGGTTTATGTAATGATTTTTAATGTACTAAAATAAAATATTTAATAGTCTATGTTCATTTAAAAACACACAAATATTTTAAGAGATCAAACGGAAAAAAGGTAAAAAGTCAGCTAAAATGTTATTCTTTTTGTTCTAAAGTGTGCATATTTACACTAAAACAAATTCAAAACATTGTGTTAAAAGTAAATATTAGGATACACTTTCCCTATACATCTTGTTTTTCGGTAAAATTTGGGATATATTAATCTTTCGTTTAATATGTAATTATTTAGAATGTTTGAAAAAATTTGACTAAACAATTTTTTTTTGAATGTAGATGGCGACATGGGGCCAAATGACATCAGGAAACTTTTAAGTATTTGGCGCTAGCTGCGGCTTAACTGCCTCTGATAGCAGCAGCATCGCTTTCCCTAACTCGCTAATCTCTCTTACACACAGAATTACACACACCCACACACAATGGGCAAAAGGACGCGCATTAGGGATATCCTAACGGTGGGTTAAAGGGGGTCATTTCTGCGGCATCGTTTAAATTTTTATGCTAAGGGGGTAGCAAAAAGTTGAACCGTATCGATTGTCCTGCTCATGGGCATAAATAATAAAGCAACTCAAGTGTAACACACACAATATAAAAGAAAAATAGCTTAACTATGTCGGTTGCCAAGCAACTTTCAACTTTGTTAAGTATTTCCTTAAGTACAGTATGCGTTTAACTATTTTTAGTGACAATCGTGGGGAATATATTTATTCAAGCCATCCCCACACTTTTGTCCTGACAATCATTTGTGACCTGAGGGTAAAATGTTCTTAAAATAGCAAAGCAGATTAATGGGAAAGCTAATTGGCTTAAATCCAGCACAAATTATACAAATATAGAATTTTAAGCTTGCCCATTAGCCCTTTTCACGAAGGATATTTTGGAAGGAAGCTTATTTTACAACTTCTATGATGTTTTGGGTTGATGTTTAATAAATTCATTAAATAGTTTAATTTTTTATATATAAAAGGTAAACAATTGTGCTCCTCATTTCAAGTGACTGAATTCATTTTGATACCAATTTATTTTCCGGAAATTAAAATTTTTCGTTTTAAATATCAATATTCCGCACGCGTTTCATTTGGCTCTTTGGATTAAATTTTTAGATTTCATTAACTGCCTCAAATTGCAGGGAACTTTCTAAGGCGCGTAATTGCTTGGTTCCATAGGTCCTCCCACTCTTCAGGACCTTCTCCCTCCATTTTTCTTATCTAGCCCCAAGTTACTTTTCCTGTCGGAGCTCCTCGATTCGGGCATAACTTAAGCTGAGTAATACTTTAAGACAGGCCGGGCTACCAACTCTCAACGAGAGAAAAAACACCACGCAAAAATTTAATTCGCATTTAGGCTTAAGTTAGCTGGACGGGGCTGAATGGAGGGTTGGAAAAATTCTGGAGGCATAAATCAGAGCTACAAATTGATGCATAAATAAAGCAAACAAAAAAGGATGTCGTCCGCAGAATAAAAAGTAAGGTAGGCAAAAGAAAAAAGGGAATTAAACATTGTCAAAAATAGACGGGAATCGGAAAATGAAGATATCGGTTTTGAATTACGCTGGAGTCCTGAATCGTCTCTATATTGGAAAGTAATGCTGGCCGTGTGACTCACATACATATTTCAGTAGCTAGAACCTTGTCACGTGCCCAATCGATTGGAAAATCGCGTTCTGAACCGAAAATAAACACACAGCTAAATAGAAGAAAATAATGGAATGGGGTGCAATGGAGGTAGCGGAATATGATGAGATGGGATGGCCAGAAGCTCGAAACTCACACACACTCCACTCACCCACTGATGGCCTAATCACACCCAGTCGCACACACAAAATTCTACATCAAACACAGACAACTGGCCCCAATCCATCCCCACATTTCCCATTTTCCCATTTGGCACCTCAAGTGCTCAAGCCGACATGTGTGCGTGCCTGGTCCTGCCAGTGACCTGAGTGCCCTGCATTATATTCGGTATGTGCACAAAAATTAAATTCAAATAAAAAGTTTTTCCAACAAATTTCGTTTGTCGCCGAAATGAAAAAAATGTGAAATCGTCTCAGACGATGTGAAATTCTGCACCCCGGGAAAATCAATAAGCGTTGGAAATTATGATTTTCCTCTAGTTCTTTGACAGTGTCCTTCAACAGGACGGGCCATGCCCCCGCTGTCATTTGCAGGAAATCCATTTGGCTTTCTTTATGCACTGCATATATAAATAACTAATGTTTGTTTACTCCTAGATCCGAAGTTTGCTGAGGTCACAATCGATTGAATTTGTTGCTAGCACAAACAAATATTGTTGGGGTATTCTATTTATACTGCACTTACTCAGGTGTTAACATATATTGTAGAAAATAAGTAATTCAATAGTTAACGAATAACTGAAAATTTAAGTCAGAGCTACAGACTATCGCTATCCATTCTCCTTATATATGATAAGTAGTAAACCTACTAAGTTTTAGCGAATTATTAATGAATTTTGAAATAAAATCGTAGGAAGATAAAAATATTATGAAATATCTTCGTAGGTAAATATATTAAACTATTCCAGATTCAGAAAAATATTATCATGATGTAATGGCATTTTTTTTATTTCTTGAAATGGTAATACTTATTCAACAAGGTAATCTGTTCTTTTAATCTACATTTACCATGATTGACATCATTTTTTTATTTATAGTTTTTAAGGCAACTTAAATTTAAAATTTCCTGTTATTTTGTTTTTATCATC